AAACAACCAAGCTGAGAGAGAACCAAATACCCCTCAATCAGTGAATTATTGAGTTGGTTTGAAAGTGTAGCAAACACCTGTGATGGGAACATGTGAGGACCATTACATGAGATGTTGAACAATGGCTTACTTGCACAATTAAAAGAGCATTTCAGTCAATCTGTATTACCTGATTCCTTTATCATAATCAGATATCATTTCTTGGGTACATTTCTGCACAAGATCAAGGTACTGCATGGCATCTCCAAATTTTTCTAGTTGTCAATGAAACTCTACTACATACAAGTGTTATACAATTAAGTTTCTTCATCTGATTTTTTGTTTGTGTCAAGATGCAATGAACACCCTAAACTTATCCTAAGACATTATTTATTATGTTGCACATTATAGTTATTTCACCAGTTGTACAGTGCTTCATATTCAAAGGCAACAAAGGAATTCTTCAGGTAACACCTACCTACCCATCTGTGGTGGGGTGGCAAATGATGACATGCCCATGCTGACATCACACACCACTGCAAATATGTGCATTTATTCAAGACATGAAGATGCAAGTACGTAGTGGCGATATTGGCTTGATATTGGCTTGATGACATCTTGTGCAGGTTATGATTTTGTATAATTGCATTTTGCCACTTTGTTTATCTGCATCTCTTTAAAGTGGATGCACAGGGATTGCCTAGCTTTCCTTTGCAGCTGTTGTGTGTTTCCATGAAAAACATGTTTGGTTTAAGCAGTTGTAGCCTGGTGCCCATTTGCATTCTGAAGTACCCCTTTGCCTTCAAATCTACAGTGCTATGCAACTTTTCCATTATTGGCATATGGAGGCCAGGTGCAATATGCAATTCTTATAATCTTGTGAGGTAGTTAGGCTGGGAGAATGTGGTTGGACTCCACAGTATGGGGGGAAAATGGGTTCAATATTCCAAATGCATCACAGAGTACACTGGATTTCATTTAACGTTATACAAATATTGTAAACCACCCCACCCCATCCCAACTCATGCTAAACGTTTGTATGATCATGCGAATCCATTCTGAATTGTGCCTTGGTCCCAAAGCTGTTTACTGAGAAACAAATCTTCATATTTGGGGGCAACTGCTACTGATACACTTTGGAATATATTTCCCTGTAATTGAAGATGTTAGAAAGCACTGTAGAAGCATTATATAATTAAGCACAGGACAGCCAGATTTTCAATAAAATGATCAGGAAGTTGTATGTTTCAAGATGTGAATAGTTGACAATGATTTCCAGTATTTTTGTTTATGGAGGACATTCAAGAGCCTAGTGTGATGAACGTGATACGGGTTTGCTTGTTATGATAATTATTTCCATCTGAAGAATAAACAGTATCAAATGTTTCTGATGCATTGTCTCAGCAAACTAGAGAAAAATCAGGCGACTGGGGATGATATAATACACCTCTAATTTTCCACTTTTCTGGATCTTTCTTTACAAACTTTTGTAGGCAGAAATATTGTTTGAAACTTTTGCTTATATGAGACTGAAAAACAGAACCAAAAGGATACTTGAAAGACAAAGTATATCTAAAAGTTGTCAAATGAAATGTATAATATTTATACTGCTTTTCAGTTGCTTCACATCATTTTGGTAACCTTAACAACATCCTGCAAAGACTGTCCTTTGAAAACAATCTTGGGAAGGCTATATTCCTGAAAGGTGGATTAGAATAGAACAGAAAAGAATAGAATTAAAGCCATGCTCAGTTGCCTTAGGCAAGCTACTCTCTCAATCTGTTACAGAAATATATGTGTTCTTTAGAGCTTTAAATATAACAGCTTGCCCACAGCAGTGTTGTAATTTACTGGATACTTTTGAATCTAAATGAGAAAAATAGCAAAATGCATCTTTAATATTTATATTATGAAAAGAGAAACACTGAAAGTCTGATTTGAACTTTATAATAGCATAAAGATGAAAAATGCTTATTTACATGTAGAAAATATATCCTGTCTGCCCTGTATAGTGTGGTTCAAGTACTAGTTTTTTCTTAGATAGAATTGGCACTAGAGATTAGTTTTTTATTTAATATACTTTTGCCTCTTTTAGGCTGCATTACAATTAATGTAATAATTTGAGATGTTTTGTAATGTTCCATGACCAGTCTATATTTTGCTAATATGGATACTTGGGAACATAATTCACTAAAGGAGAAAGCAAATAATAGTTGTTACTATAAAATTATTGTGTTAATTGACTTCATTTCCTGTTTGAAACATGAACACTAAGCAACAATATGCAGTGTGGAAATGTACTGCATAATATAACATTATAGTTTTCAGGAAGAATCATTCTTCCCCCCCCCAGTAGTTGGTTTGCCTGCAGAGCAAAAATATCAAATGCATCAAAAAATTGAAAGCCCCATCAGGCCTGTTCTCATATTGAATACGAGAATAACAAATAGTTGCATTTGAAGGAAAAATGCTCTCACACTTTAACATATTTACTTTCCTCTTACATAGCATTTATCACCCTTAGCAATTTAAAGATATGTGGACTTCACCTCCCAGAATTCCTCAGCCAATATTACAATCTTTTGCAGGAACAGTGTTAATTTGCCAAGTCACCAATATAAGGCAGTACCTACCATTGATCTATTGTTTTCTACCAACAAACAAAAATCTCAGCAACTACAAAATAAAATTCTACCTGCTAAGCAAGAATTTAAATGGTATTTTCTTGGTGAGTGTGATCTATAATGGGATCACAGGAATGGCTTATGTATATGTCTGATTCACCTTCACAATGTTAAATGTTCTTCTATTCAGTTTTTGCCAGCTTCTTTTTCATGAGCTTGCTTACTTCAGAAAGAGGAAGGACAATGTATTTTGTTACGTTGCCTTTATGTTAGCTTTTATTAGTACTTAGCATTTATATTGATCTTATCAAGCAGTACTATTTCTGGGTTTCAAGATAAAAATATTGTAGGTGTGCCTGCTTTTGGCAGAGCGTACTAACACAGCATTCTTAAGAATTATGATTTTTGCCTTGCTCAACATCAGAATGTTTTGCTATAATAAAAGATAACTGCTTTACTCCGGAATAAGGATTCCAAGCCTGATCAGACTTGGAGAGTATAAACTGACCATCTTCTTTGAGGTAGCCATATGATAATTGAATTCAAAAAGAAATTTTTGAAAAAGAAGTGTAAATAGCCATTCTAATGTTCAACTTGCTGACTTTATTATTTATCAGGCAATCACATGTATAAATAAAAAAATAAGATGTTGGGATATCTCTATGTGTGCAGACATAATGGTATGTGAGAAGGACACTGGGAAACAAGGGGAACAGATGCTATTTAGAGAACAATCAGATGGGGATGGGGGGAGGTCATGCAGCTGAATAATGGTCAGAGAAAGAAACTTAGGATCCACCCTAATGTAATCAGGCAGTGGGAGGTTTGTACTTTCAGACATGCAAGAGTCTGTTAATGTAGATCAACAATAAAGTAGAAATAGCTCATTTTGTTGTGTTTCCTGTCTGGTCTTTTTGGGAGGCTGCAGCAATATTGCTCTTGTGTTCTGGATTATGGTTTTCCTTCCCTTTAGAAAAATTCAGAAAATATGCAGAATGTGAATAATTGTATTTAGCCCCACTTTCTTTTTAGTGCATGTTACTTGTGTACCTGGTGACCTGCAGTAAGGAGTCAGTTGGCTCCCAAATAGCATGACCAAATTCATGGCTAGAGATGTGACGTCCTTGTCATTATTTGAATAATTCATTTGAACAATCAAATAAAAATATTTATTGTGGCTTTTAGGATAAAGAAAATCATGAGTGCATTTTCAGGCATCCCCAAAGTGCTTTTTCCCAAAAGGCAACTGGACTTTGTTTTTTCCTTGAAGACGTTTTGCTTCTCATCCAAGAAGCTTCTTCAGCTCTGAAGAAGACATGTTCAGGCATCATTATCGATAAAGAATTTCCTCAATAATTTTCCCTCAGTAATTGTCTTTCTTTTTCTGTCTGCTATGCCTATCTTAGCCAAATCTTTATTATGATCATAGATCAGCATAGGGAGGGTGGAATACAAAAAGTTGATCATTTTAAAAGCTAAAAAATGTAAAATTCCCTAATGTTTTATTGCTTTAGCAAAAAGATATGTAAGAATTAGCTAGCTTGTTTAGGAAAGATTTATGGGTTGGGAGTAAAGAGCCTAGTACACTATTATATATTTTGTGCATTTATCTGTTTTAACATATGTTTGTATATGCCATACATTCAGATCTGTTTTAGCCTATGTTTATGCCTGCCATACATGCAGTCATGAGGGAGAAAAGAGTGCTTTTATATATCTATGCAGGCACTTGGGAATCTCTGCATTTTTTGATGTATATGTGGATGTATAGTCATATTCAGTGGGCTAATCTGCACCTCTGTGAAACATACACACAGTGCAAAAAGGGTCATTGTCCTGTGTTAGATATCATTCTCTTTTATTTATTGAATTTAACATTTAATTGGCATGTATGTATGTATAGAGTTCAACATGTTGAACCCCTATACAAACAAAATGTATCATAGTTTCAGGGGGTTCTAGTAAGATAGTAACTTTAGGTGTTTTGGTAGTGTTTTTCTCTTGCCTAAAATTAACAATTGTAGTCTCAGGGTTTCGTTTCTTTTCTTTTCTTTTTTTGGAGGGGAAAAAAAAACAGAAAACAGTTTCTCAGAAAGCTGATTTCAAAGTTAGAATGAGGAAGGTAAATTGAGAAATATTTTCCATTCTTTTTTTTTTAAATACACAATGGTCTCCAGAACAAAAATTCATTTACTTTGGTGAGTTAGACTTTTTCTGTAATTGGGCATATAGCCTAGAAAACAACATTATAGAATGATGCAATTCTACCAATGTTATTCCTCTTTGTATAAGAGAATAATGCCTTCTCAGGATTAGTTTGAAGAGTAATACCAGTCTCATTGTTCTGAACAGTATGATTCAAGATAAACATTTTACAAGGGTTTTTTTCTGCCCTAGATTTACCAGATCAATGTTCTCCTAACCCGTGTCACAGGGATGGTACTATAAAATGTGAAGATCTGAAAGGTGGATATCTTTGCCACTGCAAGAGAGGCTGGGAAGGCGAGACATGTGATAAAGGTAAGTCTAGGTCTGAGCTGCTTGTACCGGTAAACCTCAACTTACAATCACATTTGAGCCCAAAATTTCTGTTGCTAAGCAAGACGGCGGTTAAGTGAGTTTTCCCCCATTTTACAACCTCTGTTACCATAATTGTTAAGTGGATCACTGCAGTTTTTAAGTTAGTAACATTGTTAAGTGCATCTGGCTTCCCCAATGACTTTGTATGTCAGAAAGTTGCAAAAGGTGATCACGTGAGCCTGGGACACTGCAACTGTCATGAATGTGAGTCAGTTGTCAAGTATCTGAATTTTGATCACGTGAGTTGGGTATGCTGCAATGATCAGAAGTGTGAAAAACAGTAATAAGTCACTTTTTTCAATGCCATTATAACTTTGAACAGTCACTAAACAAATTGTTGTAAGTTGAGGACTACCTGTACATCTATAATTCTGACTGTTGGGTGGAGAAAAATATAGCTTATTTACAGAACATGGATTTTTTTATATATATATAAAAGGTTCAATCTTTGGAATCTCCAGATGGAGATTGACAGAGTTATTCTATGAACTCTGCTCACCACAACAGAGACTGTAATTACAAACAGATCAATGGACTCATTAAAACAGAGTAACAGAAGGCTTGATTGAAAGAGATTCTGCATAGCTTATTGCTCTGGTCAGCCTAAAAAGACACTTGTGAATAACTGCATAAATAAATAAATTTAAACATTGTAAACTGACTTGAAAATTAAACCAGAGATGATAAAATCTTGCATATACAACATGTGGAATTTAATAAAATGATACATATGAAGAGATGAATGTCTTGTTTCACATTCTTCTGTTGGAGTTTGTTTGGATACTGAAACAGTCTTTTTCCACTTCTAGATATTAATGAATGTGCAGATCACAATGGCGGATGTAAACAGATCTGTTACAACAAACCAGGCAGTTATCATTGCTCATGTTACACTGGCTATGCTCTTATGAGTGACAGTAAATCATGCAAAGGTAAGCTATGAAATACACAAGAATAATATGAAATCCAACTTTGGCATTACACGAACTAGTCTGTTTTGAATCTAATTTGATCTGCTCTAGTTCTTTTTTCTTGCTTCCTCTTTCTTCTTTTTGGTCTTGATGCCAACCCCAAGTTTGCCAGCTGAAACTCTATGGCAAATTATGATTGCTGGATCTTTTGACATGTTCTATCAACAACACTTTATGAGAAGGTTACTGCACAAATTCTGTACGAGTGAGTGAAAGCTACATGCCTCTGCTGAGTCTATTATTCCATTATTATATAAAAGGGTAGATATCTTGATGAAAGTAAATAATGGCATCTTGAGGATTAGCATGTTTATTGTGGATATGTTCTAAGTGAATTTACGAGCCAGCAATAAAATTATTCTAATCCAGATAAAACTTATAAACCACATTAACCCTGAGCTATCTTTATTAGCATAAATAACTCTGAATGCTAAACTGAGCAGTTGTTATTGCTTCTGACTTTCTCACAACTGCGGTTTAAGATTTCAATAGGAACAGCCAGGAATGCATGCCTAAGCATGTCTGCAGTCATACCACAGAACTATCCAACCCCATAGCAAAAGAGTGATTCACAAAGGATTGGCATATTATGCCAAAATGCTCCAGCCAACAGGCTCCTTCTGGAGCTAAAAAGCAATATTTGGCAAAGTAGCATATAGTTTTTGTTAGTTTCATTACATTGCATTGTATTAGAAAATGACCTCATGTATACAAGAAGTGTGCAGCCACCTGAAAGAAAAATAATGTCTAGAGAGTTTATTCATCTCAGAAATGTTCTGATGACAAGTGGCCAATAACAATGGATATGTTTTCTGTAATTTAAAGTATAGTGCTTTAGCCTGTTGAACAGAATATTAATGTTCTGCATACTGGAAGTCAGTAAAGAATAAAATGACAATAATGCTGCCTGGACAGAGATTGTGGAGGGGAGAAAGAAAAGGTTAAAGGAAGAAAAGAGCTGTATAGTAGCGGCAAACTAACTGAAGCTGTTGCTGAGAAACCACATTCTGCAAAGGCTGAGATATGTGCTTGAGGCACCATTTTGTTTTGGGGCATCACTCCAGCTTTTGCAGCTTGAAGTATTTGCAAAACAATTTTTTTGGTTTCACATTTTCTTTTGAACATACCTCATTAGGGCTATTTTATCAGCAAGTTAAGCAGACTTGGCTGGATAGTTCCAGGAAGGATTGCATCCTTGCATTATAGACGGTATCTACTTTTTGTTCCATGAAATCTTCATTAGTGTCACCTAGTGATAAATATCCCCTCGTGAGACAATTTATTGCAGTGTTTCTCAACTTGGCAGCTTAATATATGTGGACTTCAATTCCCAGAATTCCCCAGCCAGTAATTTTCTTTTTTTTATTTTTATCCTGCCTATTTTTACAAGGTGGCGAATATACCCAACATGCATTTCTCCTCCTATTTTCCCCACAACAACAACCCTGTGAAGTGGGTTGGGTGAGAGAGTGACTAACTCAAAGACACCTAGAGGGTTTTCATGTGTAAGGCAGGATTAGAACTAATGGTCTCCACTGGACCAAATTAGCTCTCAGTAATGTTGAAGTTCATACATTTTAAAGTTGCCAAGGTTGAGAAACACTGACTTATTGAAAGAGTAATGACTCAACTGTAAACATTCCTGGAGGATACCGATTATCTACATTTATTTTAGTTTTGTTTTACAATGAGAAGCAGCATACCAACATTTTAACAATTAAAAAAAACAAATAGCAATTTCTCATAATGTCAGCTAGCATAAGTTGCAATTCCAATACATCTGGAAAATTTTGGCTGTGTTTTTTTCTCCAAGCTTGTTTTAATATAATTCCTGAATGTTTCATTACCAAACTAGGTAACATCATCAGCAGGATTTTCTTGTGCTATTCTCTTTAGCTCATAAGTGCCTTGTGGAAAATATCTATATGGGGAGGGAGCTATAAACGTATTTTATAGCTTATTTGTGGAAAAACAGCTGGCAAAGGAGATCAAAATGGACAAACAGTGTGAGTACAGAGATAGGCATTAAGGATGTGCAGCACTTTGGAAATAGTTTAAAAAATGTTCCTCACAACATGTGGGTATGAATATAATATCTGTCTGTAGCTCATGAAAGTAGCCTAGTCCTTTACCTGAATCACGGATAAAATTTGCAGACGGATGCTATGGTTGCATCCCCATTCCTTTGAATTACCTTTTATTAATTTTGAAGTGCTACCCAGGCCTACTGAGTATATCGCCTTTTGCAAATCCTCTCATTTAAATTGCCCTTTCTCAAAATATTTTGTGGGGAGGAGAGGTGAAAAGTGATACTTTCTTGTGTTGGTATAATTATTCATTTGTTTGCTAAATTTACATTCTGCCTTTCCTCCAAGTGTGCTGGGTGATGAAATGAGATGAGATAACCTTTATTGTCATTTTTTACTGTGGGCACACTGGCACACATTAAAAATGAAATTCTGTTGCTTGCTCTCAAATGTAGCACTCTTGGCTATTGTTTTTCCATCACAATAACAGTTTGGGTTAAAAGAGAGCAACTGGCTCTATATTATCTAAAGAGCTTCCATGGCTGAGAACAGACTAGGAAGCTGCATCTTGTTAGCTCTAATCCAATACTTCACTCTCAATACCATGATGAAATCCACTTAGAAATTCTGATTTGAATTTAGTAAACTTGTTTTAAGAAAGTGTATTCATGTTAAACCTGAACTATAATGCGCAAGTTGGACTTTAGTATTTCGGCTTCTGGAATTCTGATATTGTGCTTTCCAAGTATATCAAGGCAGAGCATTTTACATCTTCATTAACACGACTCTGTATCAAAGACTGAAGGTCAAATTTCTACATATTTTTACCTCCACTTGATCACACTGGGAGGCAGTTTTTAGGCATCTTGGAGGTACCTTCCATCTGAGGTGGAAAATTTCTTTTGTTTCTTATTATGCTTGCAAGATGCTCCAAAATCACCGTAAGTTCATGATCAATTAGAATCTGTATTTAGATAACTTATTCTGCCTAATTGGATATTTGTTTTTATAATAAATAGATGAAAATGATAATATTGTGAAACAAAAAAGGAAATAACAAAACAAAGAAAGAGGAAAGAGCATTTCCCCCAGTGCGATCCATTTAAAATTGCTGCTTGGAATCCCAGGGATCAAAATACACATGTTGAAAGGTTATAGATCATCCATTCTGAGCCAGATGTTCTCTGGGTGGTTTGGATCATCCTTACCTGGAATAGAATCAGCATATTTGGGCAGATCCAGATGGAAAATATTCTTCAGGTAATCCTCGACTTACAATTCATTTACAGTAGTGACAATTCAAAGTTACAACAGCACCAAAAACAGTGACTTATGACTAAGTGCTGTCTCCTTAAGAGATGGCTTATGGGTAATGTAGTTTTAGCTCGTTAGCTATCTCATGTTAACAGGTCAGTAGTAGGAGGAGCCTCTGAGCTCTTTTCAGGACATACTGGCTACGTGCCAGTTTGGAATGCCTTTGTTTCATCCAGCCTCATGGCTCCTAGCCACACGGCTTGGAGGTCCTATGCCAACATGTGAGTCTTATGCAGAAGAAGAGGGGAAAATCCATTATCAAATTATCTGTGGAATGAGCTACAACGCTAAATATGTTTCTGGATGTATCTCTACATAACAGTGAGTTATTGTTTAGGATTCCTAGAAATAAAAGCGATATTCTTTGCTTATTCTGCTGAGTTATCTGTCTGTTTCAGATGGGATTAAAGTAGTCTATTCTGTTTGGGGCAGAACAAGCACGGTCATAAAATGGGGCATTCTTTGGAGATGTCTCGCTTAGCAGCAGAAATTTTGGGCTCAATTGTGGTCATAAGTCAAGGACTACCTGTACTATGTCTTTGTGTGTGTGTGTGTGTGTGTGTTTGTGCTTTGAGTAAGTCTTGACTCCTCTGACAACTGCCTGAACTAGTTCTTGCAATTTTCTTGGCAAGATCTCCTTTCTAGGGCTGAGAGAGAATTACTAGCTCAAGGTCATCCTTTGTGTCTGAGGTAGGCCTAGAAATCAGAGTGTCCTGGATTCTAGGTACTGCCCTAATTATTACACACACCAGCTCTCTATGCCATATTTACTTACAATGTAAAAATTTGACATTTAGAAAGTTTGATTTATCTCAAGGGGCGGAGGGCTGTTTTATTACGGCTACATTTCCTGCAACTGCTCAGTATCAAAAGCACATTTCTCTTAACCCAATTATATTATCATTGAGAAAAGTGTAAATAATGCTTATGAAGACCCAAAATATGAATGGGTGTAGGCCTCTGTATGAAGATGATACTGTGTGGCTGCCTGAAAATCCAAATCATTTGCAACTAATTGTATATTACAACTAAAAGAATGGAAATTAATGTAGCAAAGTTCAAGGTTATTGCGTTTGATAAGGAACAATTGCAAATAATATATAAATGGTGAAAATAAAGCAAGTAGATTAATTTCTGTATCTTGGTAGAAGGTTTACTAAAGATCAGGAAAAGGTATACAGAAGTTTTAAGACATGCAAAAATTGGTAGAAAAAAGCACATTATGAGGAAGGAATATTTGTTAAAGTAAATAAAAATGTATAGACGTGGAAAAATGCCTCTATTAAGAGTGTGCTTCCACTCATTTTTGTTATCGAATTGAAAATTGGATGTTTCAGAAGAAACAGAAAAATTAAATGCATTGGGAATGGGACATTTAAGAAATAGCCTGCCATGCCACCATGGCTCAATGTGTGGTAAAACAGGGAAAAATAGGATGAAGAATGAATAATTGTTAAAGGAATATGCACTGAATGAAAAACTGAATGATGAATATAAACAGAAGTAAAAGAGAGACAGGTAGTCTTTGACTCACAACCACTATTGATCCCAAATTTTCTATTGCTAAGCAAAGCACTTGTTAACTAGGTTTTGCTCCACTTTACCACTTTTTTGCCACAGTTGTTAAGCAAATCTGCAACCATTAAGCAAATCTGACTCCCCACTGACTTTGTTTGTCAAAGGTCAGCTGGGAATGTTACAAATAGTGATCACATGGCCCTGGGCAACTGTCATAAAAAAATTCAAGCACCTGAATTTTATTCACGTGACCATGGGAATGCTGCAGGGGTCATAAATGTGAAAACTGGTCATAAGTCACTTTTTTCAATGCCATTGTAACTTCGAACAGTCACTAAAGGAATAGTTGTAATGATGTAGTTTGTCATAGAGAACGAATGAAAATCAGAATTCCACAACCAACAGATAAAGGCAGAGTGAATGAATGGGTTAAAAGGAAGGTGAAAGCCGAGAAAATCACAGCAAGATAAAGTTGATGAGATCCTCAGAACATACTTTAAGAAAACAGGCAGTATATGAAGCAGATGACAAATCTGTCAGAAGCAAAGAGAATTTCTAAGTACCGTATTTTTCGGTCTATAAGACGCACTTTCCCCCCCCCAAAAGATGGGGGAAAATGTCTGTGCATCTTATGGAGCGAATGCCGCCTCCCACCGCGCCGCTCCGCGTCCCGCGCCTCTGTGTTTCAAGCCTCTGTGGCACAGAACTGCTGGCGTTATGCTTGGGCGGAAGACGTTTTCTTTTACAGATGGGGCGGGTGGGCCTGACATTCGCGTGCAGGCAGGACCCCGCCCGCCGAGACACCGCTTCCCCATCGCCCTCCACGCCAGCCGGCTCCATCTCCAGACCTCCCAGCTGACGGGCGCAGGTCCGGGGCTCACCAGCTGACGGGCGCAGGAGGTAGGCGCCGCCGCGGCCTCCCAACCGCTTGTTTCTTCGGCTGGAGCGATTGCAAGGGCTTGCATGGTCCCCAAGGGCCGCTGACGCGCTCCCCCGCTGCCGGCGACCATGCAAGCCCTTGCAATTGCTCCAGCCGAAGAAGCAAGCGGCTGGGAGGCCGCGNTCTTCCGCCCAAGCATAATCTTTAAGGATTTTAAGGATCTTTGAGAGGGAGAGAGAAATAGAGGGAGGGAAAGAGAAATAGTATAGTACCGGTATGTGCGTCTTATGGTCAGGTGCGTCTTATAGAGCGAAAAATACGGTATAGAATGATATGGAATGGTGTTGGTATAAACTAGTGTTGATTATATTTCTTCTCTTTTTATTCTCTGATGCCTTTAATTTCTTTGGTTTACTTCTTTTCTATGCTGTGCATAACATTGCTTAACCTAAAAGGGAATGGCCTGGTGGGTATGTACGGATATAGCTATACTATTCTGCATGAAATTTGCTTTGTACAAACTAGTTGCTGAAAAATGGGTGGTGCCATATGCTACTATCTACACTGCAAGATTTGACTGTGTATCCTCCATTCATTACATTAGATGCCTCATTTTCAGTATGCAGAAACAAATTAAATGTGCATGTAAACATGATCTATATACCCTGTTCCATTAAGGAACTATGTACAAAAACCTCATTGTTGACTGAAATAAGCTTTTCCCAGCCAAACAGCTGGTAATTTCCTATCCTGTGATCCTTTTTGTCTCAAAACCCTGACCCTTTTCTAACATTGCTATCACACTTTTTCCTGTGATTCTCCTCCTCTCTGCTCCCATCCCCAGAGTTCACATTTTAAATAATTTTTATAACATTTGTCCAGAAGTGCTGTATATCTTGCAGAATACCAGCCTTTTGTTTCTGGGGAGGCTGAAGTCATTTCCTAATTCCATTATGCCATTATAACAATAGAGAGAGAATGAGTTGCAGACTTGGTATAACATGGAGGGACAGGCCTGTGAAACATGGTTGATAGTCTGATTATTATTGTTGATTGTCTTTACTTTTTGCTCTTTTTCAGACATTGATGAATGTGCTGCAACAGCAGGGATCTGTGGAGAAGCTCAGTGTAAAAATTTAGTAAGGTCTTATTCATGTGTTTGTGATACTGGTTATACTTATGATGAGGTCACGAAGACCTGCAAAGGTTAGTAGGTAGAATTAAATTCTATCATGATAATTCTTACCCTCAATCAATGTATGCTGTAGCCTTCCCACTTTGCTGTTAATTTCCTATATACCTCTAGATGGCAAGTGGGTGTTGAAAAATAAGCAGATAGAGTATTGAATCAAATTTGATGTTTTGAATGAAGATTGTATCAAGCATTATGATGAATATTTTTATAAGAATAATTTTTTAAAGGTACAATAAATGTATTGTCTAGCACTGATGATGTTACCTAGTTTGGGTAATGAAACGTCTGCAAGAAAACAACCAAGTTCAGAGAGCACCAAAGGGGCCCTCATTTCAACCCTGAGCTACAGATATTCTCCTTTAAATGTATTGTCATCCAATATATTTAAAAAATCATCTAATGACTGGGAAATTCAGTGCAGGCGTATACTCAAATTTCTTGCAAATCACTAATTTCTTTATTTGCTTCTGGAGGCCAGCATTGAGAGAGCCCAACTTTCTCAAATGAAAGCATTCTTAGGTAGAAAATACAGTGCTCTGGTTATTGATTATTTTACTTAATCTGCTACCACTTTAGCTTTTTTGGCTATTGTAGTTCAGCAGTTTTAACTGAAGAGTTAAACTGTTTTAATAGAGCACAGAATAAAAACAGGAGAAACTTGTCCTAGTAGACAGCATCTCTATAGGATTCCTGAACAGTTGAAAGGTGTGTTAAAATGGAATAGACAAGATGCTCCAGAACCATCTGTAAGTGACTGGTGTTCTCCAGTCATATTAATGCCAACATCAAATGGGGGAAAACAGTGTTGCATAGACTTCCAGCAAATAAACCGAGAGGCAAAATTCAATGGGTATTCAATGCCAAGAGTTGATGCTTCTTGGATGGCCTAGAGATAGAGCCAGGTATTTTTCACCTGCCAAAGGATATTGGCAAATTCCACTGGAACGCCATTCAAAAAAGAAAACCACATTTGTTACTCCATAAGTTCACTTTTAATTAAGAGAATGTCATTTAATCTACATGGAGTACCCTGCACTTTACAGTGTCTAGTGAACAAGATTTCATCAGGTCAAGGGGAATGATATGCTGCCTATCTAGATGATGATCTCATACACAGTACAGTGCAAAAGTGTTGGGCAGTTGTGCAAAAATGCTGTAAGTTAAGAATGCTTTCAAAAATGTTAATAGTGTTAGAAGTGTTAATAGTTTAGGATGGTCACACCAAATATTGATTTGATTTGGATTTCTCTTCTGTTCATTTACTTTCCATTTTGCTAATTGATAAAAATAAACTGTTCAAAATTCTATTTCTGAAAGCATCCTTAATTTACAACATTTTTTCACAATTGACTAACCTTTTTGCACAATACTCTATATCAAGACCTGGGAAGGACATCTCCAACATTTAAGGTTAATAATTGATAATTTAGGAAAACCTGGCCTAACCATAAACCCAGAAAAGTGCCATCTGGGATATCAAGAAACCTGATATAAGGAGTTTATGATTGGAAAGGGAGAAGTTAAACCAGAATATAGAAAGGTTGAAACCTTGAAACAAGTGGAAGCCCCCAAAACAAAGGAAGAAGTTTGTTCTAGCAGGGTGTTATCACAGGTTCATACCTCATTTTTCTATTGTGACTCAACCCCTCACAGACCTAATGAGAAACAAACCTCAAGGATAAAATTTCTAAACAGCACCAGAAGTATTTGGAAAAATAAAAGTCACGTTGTGTGGGAAGCCAGTATTGAAAGGACAGGATTTCCCCCAACCCTCTGTTTTACAAATAGACACATCTAGCATAGGCTTAGGCACCATGCTACCCAAAATTATGAAGGAATAGACCACTCTATGATCTACCTCTCAAAGAAGCTCCTCCCCAAAAAACAAAAATATAACACCATTGAAAGAGAAGCCTATGTACTAAAATGGGCAATCGATGCTCTGCATGTATATTTGTGGGGTCAGGAATTCACCATAACGATTAATTATCAATCACTCACCTGGGGTGCAACAAATGAAATATGCCAATTCATGGTTAACCAGATGGTATCTCGCATTACAACCTTAGCGCTTCAATGTCATACATTGAGCAGGACAGCAAAATGTTACCACTGACTTCCTATCGTGTTATGAGAAAAACACAGAAATGGCATTACTCTCATAAAAATAAAAAATAATCAAAGATATTGATTATTTTTATTAAAAGGGGTGAGGTATGGGAGGAGAGAAGTGGCCCAGAAATGGAATATTTTTTTGCAATGCCAAACTAAGCTCTCTAGAAAGAATAACATGTTGGATTTTTCTTCACGGTTGCTACTACTGTTTTAAAATATATCTTAGTCAAATACAACAATTTAATTTTCTACTTTTCTTTTTATTGGTGTTGTATAGATGTGGATGAATGTGAACAGAACTTCTGTGAGCAAACATGTGTTAATTCACAAGGAAGTTATACTTGCCACTGCAATGGAAAAGGCGGAATTAAACTCTCCAGTGATATGAATACTTGTGAGGTAGTATTTTAATACTTCTATTCTGCAGGCAGAAATACACAAATGGAGCCTAATGTTTATGAGATAGCAGTGTACAAAATGAAAAGTTTAATTCATTCCCTTCACTTGAGTCTGGAGAACAATTTATTAAAACACTGTATGTCTATATAATAATACAAATTATAATACAAGATAGTGTTGCCTATCATGAATAGGGAAGATGCATGCTTAAAACTTTGGTTTTCAGTTTCATTCGTACAGCATGCGTTGCTTGTTTATCTTGCCAAATGAAATTTCTGATACAAACTTACAGGTTGTCCTCGACTTACAACTGGTTGTTTAATTGCTGTTCAAACGTACAACAGCCTTAAAAATGATATTTTATTGCTTGTAAAGCACTTCTAGATGTTGTAAAAAGTCTCTCCACCCGCCACTCCTTTGTCACATGATTACATTGGCAACCAGCTCGTATTTATGGTTGATTGCCAAGTGTCCCATGATTATGTAGGGAGAGGAAATCCTTCAGTGGGCTTCAGGAACAGATCTCAAATCCTGAAGATTCATTAGTTTCTTAGGGTGGCAAGCTGGTGAACGCCAGCATTCTGAAGTCTAGAAAGATTTGTGGGAAGGCTAGCAAATGTGATTGCTCTTGCATTTGTTGGAAGACCCCTTCAAATTGTGCAGTTTGGAGAAGAAGTCTTCCAACGATCAAGAGAATGGGGCCCACTTGCAGGATGGTGCAAGGTGGTTTCAATAGGAAGGTTGCACCTTCATATTAACTGGGCGGGTCTACAGCTGCAGAAAAAGGCAATTTAATGACCCACATAAACACGTAACAACAGCAACTGGAAAACTGGGCTTGCAGTCATTGAGTGAAATGGTCACATGGTTGTCTCAGTTGATGACTGCTCTGCTCAATTTCAATTGTGGTTGTAAGTCCAGGATTACCTACACAAAGTTGCCTTCAGTCAACAGACTCTCTGGGTCTTTCACTCCAAAGTTTTCTGCCTGCTGTTATTCAGCCTTTTTCACCAGAGATCCGTTAAATGGACTTGTTTTATGGTCTTTTACATCAGAAAGATGTACTATATGACTGAACAAAATAATAATATACAGGTAGCCCTTGGTTTACAACCACTCATTCAGCAACCATTCAAACTTGCAACAATGCTGAATGAGTAGTACTTACTTCTGGCCATTGCAGTGTCTCATAGTTATGTGGTTGCCATTTGTGACCTTTTTTGCCAACTGCCACAAGCAGAAATTAATGGGGAAGCAGGCAGGGGGGTGCAAATGGTGACCATGTGACATTCTCACTTAATAACCCATAGTGATTTCGCTTAACAGTGGCAATCAGGACTGCCAGAATTTCTATCGCTAAGTGGTGTGTGACATTTAAGTAGGGAAAAGATGGCTGTTTGATGGAGATGTTTACAGTGATATTTTGGACACATCAGCCATAGTAAAATGTGGTTGTGAAATCTATAGCTAAGCTGGTTGCCTAGTTTACTATATCTGCTTTCCAGGACAGTACAAAATCACTGAATGATGTAAATATAATTCATACACACACATGCAAACACACACACACACACACACACACACACACGCAAACACACACACACACACACACACACCTCTTTGTAATTGTTGATCTCAATCTGAGCAGAGTGTCTTGAAAAAACTTTTCTCCCTCCCCCAGGATATTCTGCCTTGTGTACCATTTGCTACTACAAAAAGTATTAAATCCCTCTATCTTGGAAGAATTTTTAGTGGGACACCTGTCATCAAACTATCCTTTAAAAGGAGACAACCCACAAGGTGAGAATTGCTTTTTAAAAGCAATTTAAATAATAATTTTCCCTCTTAAAAGAATTTGATTTACCTTTCTTTGCAATTTAGGTATGTCATCCTGGGCTGGAATTCTAAGACTTACCAAGGACCAATTGCCTAGTGATGCTTAGTTCTGAATAACAATTAAAATTATGCTCTTATTTTATGTCACTGGAATCCTTACAGGAGTTCTTATATATGCCAAGATGGGTAGTCTTTGGCTGCAGACCATTTGTGATGTGAGAACTCTCCAGAGTTGCTGGGGTTCAAATTTGAGGATTTGGGATTTTAAGAGCCGTAGTAGATATTCTTCACTTTGATCTTCCTCCATGTCTTGAACTCCTCCCAGATAAGGAGCTTTCCGTTTTGAGGCATGGGTTGAAGGGTTAAAATACTGATTCTTTCTCTTATGCATGGGCACTAACTTTGCTAGTTGATGGCATAAAACATTGTTCATCAATGTATACATCTTTGAACATCAACATTGTCCTTTGTAAGTTCCAGGTTCTTCTTTTCATCTTTTCCTTTGTGTATATCAGAATCTAACTATATGAAACTAAGAAATACCAGAAGTCCTCTTTACAAGCTCTTTCTGTAGATAACACACATGACAGATAAGGGGTAAAAGAACAATGCATCTGGCTTGGTCTGAAGCTGTGCACACCATTACCTACTGTATATCAGTGGCTTGCAATCCACTAAATACAGTTCTTATGAGAGGGACATGAGTAGGTTACCACATGATCGAAAACCTATAGTGCATGGTCAGCAATATATGTGCAAGCTTCCTTTCTGAAGGTTTCCTACAGCAAAAAGTCATTGAAGAAATGTCAGCAGTCATATGAATGTTTTGGTGGCAGAAGCAGCAGGTCATGTGTCTTGTCTACATATGGTTATAGTTCTTGAAAAAAATTAACACATTTTCCAGCAATGATAAGACAGTGTGTTATAGAAGAATTGTTTGCAGAACAAGGAGAGGTTGGGAACTCTCTCTCTCTCCCTTTTCAGCTATCTCTCTTGCTACCAGGCTAACAACTTTCACTAGAACACACAACAAGTGTGTCGTTCATTTTCTTGTTTCAGGGTAATTTCTTCTTCAAGTGATGCCACAGACATCACAAGTATACTAGCTTAGGGGTCAGTGAATTCTAGGGTTGGGATCAGCTAGAATGCAGTTATTGGGGAAGGAGGTATGATGGTTGATTGAAATTTCCCATAATTTCCTATCGTCCTTAAAATATATCAATTTACACATGAAAATAATTGGTGCACAAAATGGCATCTACAGGTAGTCCTTGAATTACGACTAAATTGAGCCCAAAATTTATGTTGCTCCACAAGACAGTTGTTAAATGAGTTTTGCCCCATTTTATGACCTTTGTTGCCACAGCTGTTAAATGAATCACTGCAGTTGTTAAGTTAGTAACATGGTTGTTAAGTGAATCTGGCTTCCCCCTTGACTTTGGTAGTCAGAAGACCACAAAAGGTGAACATAGGACCCCGGGATACTGTAACCGTCATAAATATTGAACCAGTCGCCAAGCATCCAAATTTTGGTCACGTGACCATAGGGATGTTGCAATGGTCATAAGTCACTTTTTTCAGTACCATTGTGACTTCACAAAGTCACTAAACAAATGGTTGTAAGTGTAGGACTACCTATACTACAAACTATGGAGATGAAAAAAAATGACCAAATATACATCACTATACGAGAAGGAATAGCAGAGCCAGGGTGGGGCAAAAAGAGGGATCAGCCTAGAATCACTACTTGTCCAGAGACAGAACTGAGTCCAACCCCCCTTTTGCTGCCGTTGACTCTTACCTAACTCTAAGCAGGTGCAGACCTTAGTGGAGAAGAATCTTGTGCATAGGCTTTTAGCAATAAATCAGTTAAATTGAAACATCACATGTGACCTGTTTCTTTTATGCCTGATAATCACAGTGCAAAACCTGACCTTTTGTATTTGCTGACTTTGAATGTAAATGCTCAACGTTTGGGGTTTGCCTGATGGTGTCTTGTTTCATCATCCCCCAATGATTCTATGGCTGGTAGTTTTTTTTTTAATCTAATGGTGGTAGTGTCTGGAAAACAGACTGTATTCCCAACTTAACTCTTTTTTTCCTTCTTATTCTCATGTGTCCAGACTTGAAGCTGAATTTGATTTTAGAACCTTCGATCCTGAAGGTATCCTTTTTTTTGCTGGAGGCCATCAAGACAGAACCTGGATAGTCTTGGCTTTGCGCAATGGACGGTTGGAGCTGCAACTCAAGTACAATGGAATTGGCCGGGTGACCAGCAGTGGCCCAATCATCAACCATGGCATGTGGCAGACAGTGGGTATAGTACAAGCTGTTATTCTCATGCCTTTAAGTCTCTTAAGCTAGACAAGTTCCATTGGTTTTAATTGGGTGGTAAACTTTATGCTGATTGCCGGACTTTTTACTGCTTTTATTACTATTCTAGATTTTTTTTTAAATTATGCTGGTTGGAACTTTTATCTTGTTGGCAATTTTATTTGTGATTTTAAATGGTACATCACTTGGAATGATGTGTAGATAGTTTTAAATAATACAGTGACCTGTACTTTGCCCATAGTTAAAAACTAACATTCTATTTTATTAAATATAAAGAATTCTATTCTTGAATACATAATATTTTTATTTTTCTGCAATTTTGTGACATTAGTTAACTTTCAATGTATTTGCCTCTGCAGTTGTCTTTAGAATTGTAGGTTAATGCTGAGGCAGGCAGGGTAGAGAGATGTATACCTTCGCAAGTACCAATCCCATTATAGTGAATCCTTTTTAACTTATGAATTTTAGACACATGGAAAGGGGAAAACCACTATCAGTTTAGCCAAATAATCAATTTACTTGCAAGAAGATGTATATACCTTCCTACATAAAAGAAATAGCTATGATACTATCAAAGGTACCATACCAAAGTCAAAACATATGAATAATTGTAAGGGTTAAAATCCAGTTTAACTCTTTATATGTAGAAAAGCAGGAAAAGTGTAGGTTGATTTCAAATACACAATTTCCAACTAAGATGATTAAGAGGTTAGTAGTCTTGCAATTGTAGATACATATGGAAGATACTGATTACGCAATTGGAATTTGAGGCTGAGATTGCTTTTCTTGGCTTTATGGATGACTTATGTCAAGGATCCAAGAATGCACCCATATAGTTCTCTTGGATTACTTGAAAGCTTTTAATTCCCTGTAGGATTGGGCCTTGAATTTAATAGTAATTGTGTTTGCTCCTGCCAGGACATGTTCAGAAAGTGATTTGGAAGACTACTGCCTATAGTGACATACATCACTGTACAGATGACACTTCTCTCTAGTTTAGAATGGGTTTTAATGTAATCTAATTTAAAATGTTTTATTCCCTTGACTGTCTTTTGAGTCTAATAATGGGCTGGACGAGTGCGAAGAAACTGAAATTAAATTCAGACAAAATGGAGAAGCCTTTGATTGATAGGCCTTCAGATTCACCCTCTTGTAGATAAAATTGTATAGTTGTCCAAAAGAGCTGGAGTGCAAAAACTGAAAGCTTCTTGATCTCCAGCTGTTTGTGAAATTTCAGATGATAAGGAATGTGCTTGAAGCTGGTGCACTAGTCATAATTGTTTGTAATGATTCTTGAACCAGTTCTGGTAGTAGTTTCCTGTGTTTTGGTAAGAATCATAAAATACTGTAATTGTACGAGCCTAATGGCAACAGGTACATCCAGTCTTAGAATTGACAATGAAGATACTAAAGTGGGAGACAGATTCTGCCTTTCAAGATCTACTATCAATAGTAAAGAATAAGCAGTCAAGTCTTCTTGTTCTAGGCTACTTCTTGTATTTTTTCTTTGTGATTACTTTTCATGAATTTCAGAGTCTGATCTTTAATTATCAATATATGCAAAATAATGGATAACGGGAGCTACTTGTACATATTTCAAAATTAATTTATTTCTATCTGTGTATATGAACCATTCTCTCTTGTAATCTTGTACATTGCTCTCAGAGAAATTCAAATGCGCACAATCTTAACCCCCCACCCTACCCATGGAAAGGATAAAAGAAGGGAGAATCCTTGTCTAAACATTATAAAAAGGTTTAAATTTACCAGGCAAACCGTTTCTCCAGAATATCCACTAATCTTTAAAAATGTTCAAAGGCACCGTTCTGTTCGCAGTCCTTTGCTTATTCCTTTCTGTATAATAGCTTCTTCTTATCAGCCATTCTCCTAGTTTTTAGATAATTATTTAGGGGAAGATATTACTTGGGATAAATCTGATAAATACATGAATCTAAGATCAAATTGTCCCACCAGTTCTATACAGATAGTCCTCGACTTACAACAGTTCATTCAGAGTTACAACGGCACTGGAAAAAGTGACTGACCATTTTTCACACTTACAACTGTTGCAGCAACCCCATGGTCACATGATCAGAATTCGGATGTTTGGCAATTGGTTCATATTTATAACAATTCTTATGTCCTGGGGTGATGTGGTCACCTTTTGCAACCTTCTGACAAGCAAAGTTAATGGGGAAGCCAGAGTCACTTAACAACTGGCTTATTAACAACTGCAATGATTCACTTAACAATTGTGGCAAGAAAAGTTGTAAAATGGGGCAAAACTTAGTTAACAAATGTCTCACTTAGCACTATAAATTTGTGGTTGTAAGTCAAGGACTACCTATATATGATTGGAACATGAGAGAAAGCTATTTACTGATCATATGGTTTGTCTTGTTATTGTTAGCAAATATATATGTATGTAAAATACTATCAGACTTTCAATTTTAATGTGTGGAGTCTCACTTGAAATGGCTCACAGGAACTCCTTTGTTAAGCCAGCTTTCCCTTTTGTTCCTTGCTTCACTTTTGAAATTACAGTGTTGACCTACAGAATGAGAAAAAACAAATTATTGGGGTGTATGTATTTCTGAAGACAAGACTGATTCATGGACACCAGATGACTTGAAATTAACTCATTGAACAATATTGTTTTATATGGGTGATGTGTTTTTTTCATATTTCGCTCTTGATCCCTTTGTAATTATGTTCTGTCAGATATCAGTTGAAGAATTGGAAAGAAGTTTAGTTATAAAAGTCAATAAGGATGCAGTTATGAGGATCGCTGTCTCAGGTGATTTGTTTACTCAAGACAGAGGACTTTATCAACTAAATCTAACTGTTGGAGGAGTTCCTTTCAAGACCCATCATCTTATCCATTCTGTAAGTAGGACTGTTGATTACATTCATTTTGTAATCTATAGTAGAGCTGGGCAACTGGTGAAACGAGGGATAGATCTATCTTAGATTCAAAGTAAGGAAAAATAATTAGTCCATGAGGGAAAAATATAATAAAAAAACCTCATGTCAGATCACTTTTAACCACAAGAGTAAATTTGTGCAGTAGAACACATACTCAGGAGGTATGTCAAGAGAGCAGAATTACTCTCAACACTATAGAAATTGGCTTTTCTGCTCTTTTTGATTTTTATTTTCCATTGTTCACTTATATCTATTTTTAGCTGGGAGCTCTAGGTCAACATACCTTATGAGCAAGTCTATTTACTCCTCTGCATTCTTTAGGGTTTTTTCCCCCCCTTATACTTCCCTGCTGATGGTGTTTTGCAACTTTTATCACAGCAAACTCTGTAAAGGTTCAGTACTTAATTTGCTGACTATATGGAATCTTACATTTTATCTTGCAATGCTATGCTTTCTTGAGAAAATTCTGACTGAAAATTATTTATGATTCATTTCATTTCTACATTTACTCCCTCTGGAAGAATGCAGAATGGTCTATACACGTCCAGTCCAAATAATAAACTGAATAAAATTACAAATAAAACCAACCACTCTAAAATGCAGAAGATAAAGCAATGATCGATTTCACAAAAGATGGAAAGATAGTTTTACAAAACCAGGCTCATGGCAGTGAAAAAATTATATAATGTTCTTCACATGGAGAGATAGTGTATAAAACTAAAATGGCATCATTTTAGCCTAAGAAATGATATCATGCTGCATTAAAATTTATTTTCTTACCTTACACGCCTTCCTGTTCATGAATCCTTCAATCACTCTTTTAACAAACTGTTCTACCAGCTCTGCACCCAACTTCTTCACTCAAGATGGATTCACATTTTCATAGCCTGTAGAAATAGTTCTTTTCCTCTGGTTATTTTCTCCATGCTTTGTGACACTGCAGCTTTCTATGAACCAATGAAAGCAGCAGGTGGCAAGGTGCCAGGAGGGACCACATGAGCAGCACCTGCCCTTCCCTTCCTTCCACTGCTTTTATTTATTTGGAAGAGGAGTCAACTGCTGCCATCTCTTCTTATCTGCCCAATTTGATTGATGATCAGACATAGTCCTCTAACTTAAAGAAATAGAGGAGAAGCTGTGGCAGAGAAATGGCACCCTTTTGCTTAAAGCAGAACATTCTTATGTTACCTGTTACATGAAGCAGTTTTGGTTGGCTTACGATAGCCAGTCAGTTTCTATCCACATCCTACAGCCATGATGCTATAACAGTGGTGGCGAACCTATGGCACGGGTGCCAGAGGCGGCACTCAGAGCCCTTTCTGTGGGCACGCGCGCCATCGCCCCAGTCCTAGGCCTTCAGCTGGGTTTTATAAAACCTTTTCGCTTTAGGCCTCCGCCGCTGTGTGCAACAACAAAAAAAGGTTCAATCAACCAGTCAATTTCAATTTCTCGTGGGGAAAAAAAGATCTTGCAAAGTTGGAATTGATTGATTGAACTTTTTAGTCCCACCCAGTCTGCCGTTACCACCGCAGCCAAGCCCACCCAATGGGCCACACACCCCCAATTGGCCACACCCAGCCAATGGGCCACACCCACCCGGCACCCGAAGATACATAAGTGGGTTTTGGGTTGCAATTTGGGCACTCGGTCTGTAAAAGGTTCGCCATCACTGTGCTATAAGATGAATTAAGTTTTACAGATCCCTTTCCCCCACCTGCTCTGAAGTTAAAATCTCTCAGGTTTTATCTTCTTCTTGTAGGAAAAATGCTATGATGTTTCCCCCCAGTGCTGTTCTCTTTTTTAGATGGATTGGACTGAGCACAGCATTCCAAATGCAGCTAAACTATAAGCTTACATAAGTCTATACGATCTATCTTTACCAAAAAAAGGCCATTGAAGTAATGTAATACTACTGTATGTCCTGGCAGTGGTGTCAGATCATGGTTGATTAAACCTATGTTGTTTTATNATAATACATTATATTTATTGAGTATAAGTATAATTCAATATATTGAAAAGAGATTTGGGATTACTGAAAAGCCTTGTTTTCTAAGTTAAAATATTTGGGTAAACCCCATTCCATTTTCATCATCAGTTCAAGGAAAGGTAATTCCCTTTATCTCATTAGATTAACCCTCGACTAGATGGATGTATGAGGGCTTGGAATTGGCTGAATAAGGAAGACATAACTATCCAAGATACAGTCCGAACGAATGATAGGATGCAGTGCTTTGCAATTGCAGGAAGAGGCTCTTTCTACCCTGGCAAAGGATTTGCTATGTTTAATCTCAGTTATGGTAAGTACTTGTTCTTAATTATTATATAAATGAAAGTTTTACAAGAAAATTAATATGTCTTCTAGGCACAGATGAAGAAGAAAAAGTAATAGCACGATTGTAATATTTAAATAACTCTGAAAAAGCTAAACTCTTACAAAGGATATTGAATATATGTATAATGCACAATCTAATAGCTTTTAGGAAAGCACAGTACATATAAGGTGATTTACTTTTTGTGGGTTGCAATGTGATATGCTTCTTTTCTGCCAACATAACCTGGCAGACAATGCATGGCATGACTCATTACTTTGGAGAGAAATTTCACTAGGGCCTAAAATGTAATTGTCATTTTTCCTCATGACATCTGGCAATGTTGAATGGATTCAGACTTCATTGTTGCTTGCCTTCCCAATGATAGATAAACATCTCTTGAGGCTGAATAATATACATAACTATTACAGGTGCAATTCAGATCTTCTCTGAGCAATAACATTGTTTTTAATTTCAATATTATGTTCAAATAGAAAGTAAAGAGATGTTGAAAGAAGAGCATAGACTTCTTTTTTAAAAAAAAAAAAAATCTAAATTAGCAAATTACATCAGGTGCCAAATTTTTTTATTGGCATTTTCCAATCATTTAGTGTAACATTTATCTTTTAATGAACTGGTTTGAATCTGTTTCCTTTCTCTGCCTTAGTTTTACTGGGTTTTTAAACTCCTTCAGGATTCTTTGCTATGAGAAATGGTAAAGAAATATTTTGCATAAATAGATAAAAATAAGATATAGAAATACAAAAAGCTGGCAAGCTTTCTGTACTATTACACATATAATAATGCACTGAGGTAAAAATAGAACTGAGAACAGCTTTATTTCTTTGTTCTATTTTGTTTTGATTAGAAACACAGAATTAATTCCTGCAGCTCAAGATATTGTATGATTAGAGACCCTAAAGACCCAGCAGATTGACCAGGGTCTTGCAATCCAGATGTCTTGGTGATTAAAAAGTATAATCTTGACTTTAACTAGTCAAAGCAATCACAGTGCTTTTTATGAAATTAACAAAAGAGCTGTTAAAAGGAAGGAAATATTATAATATAACATAGCAACATAACCTAACAATATACATTGGCTAACTGAAGAAGATTTGATTATGGCCATTTATTCCTTACCATGATTAAGAAAAACTTACCTACTGTTTGATTATTTTAAATGCTAAAAATAGTAGAATATGCACTTAGCCCTCTGTTTCTCTTTCTGTAGTTTATCCATTTGATATCAATGAAACCAGGAAGCAGTGGGAAGTAAAAGTAAATTTTTTAATTCGTCCAGCTACAGATACTGGGGTGCTCTTTGCTCTTGTTAGCAATGAAGCAATAGTCCCTTTGTCAGTGGCTCTGATTGACTATCATTCCACAAAGAAGCTTAAGCAACAGGTAAACACACAAATATGTATTGAAATATTTCATGCATGTGTATGTGTAATTTCAACAAGAGAAACTTTTACATTATTGAACAGTTGCATAGATACTAATTCATATTAATAAATGCATTGTGTTATGATTAACTATAAAACTATATTTTCGAAGATTTCTGGGGAGTGGGAATAGAATGGTTGTCCACTGCAGTTTATCTGTCATAATAACATCTTCAGTGTTTAATATTTTTTAGAAATACAGTAGGTCAGTGTTTTATTAACATACTTTTTCTTTATTTCCTTGCTGTACAGTTTATTATCTTGGCAGTGAAGAACATTGTAGTTTGCAGGCTGGCAGTAAGCATTTGTGACAAACAAGAGCACTTGGTGGACATCTCCATCAGCAATAGTCAGATAGTTTTGACCATGGATGGGACTGTAGGACAGAACGAACTAAGCCAGGCACAATTGGAAGATAACCTGTCTGTTTTAGATAATTACCTACAATCATCTGTAAAGACCTATGTGGGAGGACTGCCAGGTGAGTATTAAATGCTACATCCAGAATGCATATGATCTGCTCATTAATAGAATAGGGGCCAACAAGGTGGCCTGTGAAAATAGGGACTTTTGCATCTTTTCTGTATGACTTTCTCAAGAACAAACCTTATTGACTTGTTTCCTTTTAATCACATTATAGCGTGTAAGTTGTATCCTTTGGGAAGCTAAGTAAATGAAGCACAACTAAATCTGATGTTATTCTGATGAGGAAAAAATATAACCTCAAGCTGTCTTACACCTGGTATTGAATAAAGAGCTACAAAGAAATAATTGAAAGTGAATATAATATAGCACACAATATGTATATTGTTCATGGAAGAGCAAATAATTTTCCCTTGAATGTTTGTCCATTATATTAGAGCTAATGATAGATTTCACCTCAAGGCTAGTTATTCTTTTGTATAATTGTAATACATGAATTCAGCCACATCAGATCATTTGGGGTGCAGAAGCTGTTATTTGGCTGTTCATGCAATTAAATATATTCTACTAGCAAACATCATGATTTTCTTTTTATAATACCCAGGCAGTGCACTGCAAGTTATTTACAGGAAATAGTCCAGAAATCTATTACAATTGCTGGATGTGCAGAGGTCATAAAAATACCACTCCTGATGCTTAGAGATGCTTTCATATGGCTGTCATCAAATGATCAGTACCTTCCACCACTGCCAAATATTTCAGTAGATATGTGATTATTTGGGATAGCTTACATAACGACTCAGAATTCTGAAATAGTTTACAAAGCATTTTCAAAATCCATACATGTTTATGGTTTCTATAATCATTTGGATTAAGGCACATCTTAACCTTGATTACATTTGGTGACTCTTAGGGCTATGCAACCCTTTGGTACAAACCGAGGAAAGGTCCTAAGGAAGGACATAGCTGCTTTAAAGGGAATTTTTATTATGGTTTTTATTTTATTTTCATTATTTTTTCATTATCTGTTTCATTATAGACTTGGTCTATTCATTATCATTCATTATTTTATTATGGTTCATCACACAGTCAGCCAGATGTTGAGACTAGTTTTAGCATTTTTGTCTATCTATTGAGTCCTTTACAAGGACCTGGCTAAGCAGATGTGGCTGTTTGATGGTTTATAGATATTGTCGCAGGATGTAAGCTATTCTGAGTAAAGTCGCTTTTTGCAATTGACTGATGGTGAATTTGTCAATGTCGATGGTGTTCAAGCAGTGCTCCATTGTTTTGGGATTGCACCCAAGATGCCTCTTACCATTGGTATTACCTTTGCTCGCTTTTTGCCAAGCAGTTTAACAACATACCGCATGGATGTAAAATTGAAGAGTGGCTAATATCTGGCAAAGCCTACCTGATAATGAAAGATTGAGAAAAAGGGATAGGACCAGGCAACTATAGGCCAATTACCTGTTTACCAACAACCTTCATATTACTAACTGGTGTAATACTGATGCAAGAGTTTGCAGCAGTTTGTAGAGAAATCATGCAGACGTGGAATGCAAATGTCAACTAATATCTGCCTTTCCTTGTGTTTTCTGCCCCACCCCATCCAAGCATTAAATCACTGTTGTTTTTTCCAGCTAAATAATATCTTCCTGATAAGTGCAAAGTTCTTCCTGATTCTTTCTGGATAGCACCCAAGGCCCATAGGAGAAACTACATTCCATATGTTTCAGGGAGAGAAGAGAGAGTGCTATAGATAATGTTTCATATGAAAAGTATAGTTTTTTTTCTACTTTTGTACAAGGCATGTGGGGACCTGGTGGGGGGAGGGAAGTAGGCCCAAGGGCTGTGGGGACCCTGAGGGCAGCAAGCAGAGCATGTGGTGTCTCGAGGTGAGGAAGGTCTTGATAGGCCCATGGCAGATGGGTCAGTGCCTGCATTAGGCCTCTTAGGGCTTCTCCCACTCCAGAGGCACTCCATGCTCCACTTAACGACATGCATGGTCATTTGACCTCATCAGGGAGAGCAGGGGCGAGGGTCATTAACCAAGGTGATCCTGCTTAACAACCATCACAACATGCCCTTAACATCATAGGTTGAGGACTACCTGTTAGGCTAAAGCAGGGGTAGGCAACCCAAAACTCTCAAAGAGCCACTTGGACCCATTTCCCACCTAAAACAAAACACTGTATATATCTGATAAAGGTAAAACAGGATATATGCAGTGTTATCTTCATTTTAGATGTCAAAAGGTCTCTCTCTCTCCCTCCCTCTCTCTCCCTCTCCCTCTTTCTGCCCTTGGTCTACCAGTCCTCTTCCCCCTCTCTCTCTTTCTTTCTCTCTCTCTCTTTCCTCTCTCTCTCTCTCCCTCCCTCTCCCTCTCTCTCTCCCCCCTCTCCCTCTCTTCGATCTTCTGCTCACCTGGCAAGCTGGCTTCAAGCTGTTTTCCAACAAGCTCAGGGGTAGGCAACCTCGGCTCTTTTATGACTCATGGACTTCAACTCCCAGAATTCCTGAGTCAGCATAGCTGGGCTAGCTAGCTCTCTTGCTCTTCCTGTTTCCTGCTTCCTGCAGAGACGCAGCAAAGGGAGGAGCCCCACCCCAAAAGCTTTTCAGCTTGTCGGAGAACACCGTGAGTCTACTCTCTTTTACACACACACACACAAACACAAACACAAACACAGAGAGAGACACGACAGAGAGAGAAGCAAGGAAGCGCAAGTGCCTCTCTCTGTCTCTGTCTCTCTCTGCAAATGGCAGAGGAGGCTGGGAGCCACAGGGGAAGGCTCAAAGAGCCACATGTGGCTCCGGAGCCACAGGTTGCCGACCTGTGGCTAAAGCTTAATTGGCATGTGAGATCAAAGGAAGCAAATGACGAATGCATGTGCATTCATCATTTTAACAAAAACTGTGATCTTGCAGTACTTCTGAGTCCAGCAAGGCAGTGGAGATAAATATACATCCCAGAGACTGGTTGTATAATACAAACATGTTCACAGGGTGTGGTAAAAAAAAGTCACGATGCTGTAACTAATCAAAGCTAGTCCTGTTTGTTATGTGTATTGTGTGTTAGCCTTTTGTCTAAGAGAAGTGTCATCTACCAGAAGGGACAAAGCTGGTAAGATAGGGAACATATTTCAATCCATTCTCCCACCCTTTTCTATATGTGGGATGCATGTACAAAGAGGCAGGGCTTGGATTGTGAAGCTGCATCCATCACCTGGGGAGCTAAAGATTATTTTAAAAATTAAAGGGAAGATTTTGAAAGTAGAAGTGTAAGAAAACAGAATTCATTCCAGGATATAAGTTCTGGTTCTTCATTTGAAAAGGTGCTTTTTGTGAATATTTCCTTTCATAATGGGGCTCAACTGCTCATATAGCCATTATAAGATATGTGAACCACTTACACCATCAAAAAGAAAAATTGTTCTATATATTTTGAAATTAAGAAGAATGAGGAGCTTGGTAGTAATGTTTATTGAAGTTGTCTAGTGTTTATTGAAGATGTCTTCCTTTGTTGTTTGTTTTAAAAACACCACAGATGTTCCTGTCACTTCAACTCCAGTTACTGCTTCCTACCATGGCTGCATGACGGTGAAAGTTAACAATCAAGCTCTGGATTTAGATGAGGCGCTCCAAAAGACCAATGACATCACCTCCCATTCTTGTCCTCCAGTAGAAATTGGTCAATAGATGCCACTGCAACACACACAGAATTTTTGTATTCAACATATGTGCATTTCAGTTATAAATTATTCAGACTTCCAGCACTGCGTGTATAGTTCCCTTGAACACTGAAATTATGTAGGATCTACTGAGTTAATTATTGAAATATTTCTTTGCTTGAGAGGATTTAAAATATGTAATATATTTGTAAATAGTTGAGAAGACTAATGTTAATAATCAGAAGTTGCAAATTGTTGTCTGAGGTGAGTAGTTGAGAGACAGTTCATGGTCGCTGGTAAATTAGTTTGTGTGGACTGGAAGATTAAAAATAATTCTGTATTTTTTTAATGCTGCTTCCTGACTTACAAAATATGAAAAAATAAATTTTTTTGTTGAATTATATGATGCAAAGACAGCATTTACTTTAGCTGAATGTGGGCAAGTGAGATTTTAACATTTTTTCCCTTTCAAAGCTTAAGCTTAGCAAATGTGTTTTTCTATCTAATTTAAACATAATAAGTTTGGCTTTGGGTTTCAGAAAAATCTTTCATGCCAAACAGCAATTACAGAGGGAATAAGGGACATTTAAATCCACATGTTCAATAGTTTCCATTCTCCTCTCTTGGTTCCTTTGGCTTTGTCAGAAGTATAATCTGTAATGGAAAATTAAGGCTTATAAGCTAAAATCCTCATGCTAATGCTATTCTCACTTTGGATATAGTACAAACATATGCAAAAGCATAGGATGAAATGCTCCACCTTTTTCCTTTGGCTTCAAAGGGTGGTATGGATTTTAAATCTGTTTTCCTATTTATCTTTGGATAACCAGTTCCCTCAGCTCTCTGTCTCACAGTAACAAATGTAGACTTGACTTTATCCAGAAGAGTAGGAGAATCATGAAATACAAAAACAGTGTCTGTTCCAACAGAAGCAGTTTAGGAACCATTTCCTGATGCTTGATAAGTTCATCATTTAAAGGAAGGAAGACCCAGCATTTAAGTTCAATTTTAGCCTCTACAGTGCAGAACACTCTCACTGGGAATGGCTGTAGTCATGTTCTGGATTGAACAAGTTTAAACAGATGAGCTCCAGCCTGCTTCCAACTTCTTTCATTCTGGGAATAGGGTTCTCCATGCCTCAAGTATTCCCTTTCAGTCTTCCTTTTTTCTTTCGCATGTACCCAGTGGTTTTCTAGACTAACCTGGAATCCAATAAAAGATAGCAAAACAGATTGGCCTTATGAAGTCTTAATATGCTACAAATAACTACCCCATTAAGACGTTAATTTAGAAAAAGTAACAAGCTTGGGCTGTCTTGAATTTTTATATAGCCCATGTCTATCCTACTGTTCGTAACAACTTGCTGTTATTTATTGAGATTATTTGTGTTATTTCAGAACATGTTTGCCTTTGTCTATGATTGAAAAGCTATTTGCCCCAGGACTTTTGCTTTTCTATCCCAACATAACAGCATTTCTTCAAATGTAGCCCACCAAAAGCTGAAAAAATATAGGAGTAAAGCAATATATTTTTTCTATGAGGGGGATAGTTACAAAGTAGTATCATATACTTGCATTATGTCACTATAACATTATCAGCAGCTTACTAATTGGATTGCTTGGCAAACTATAGAATAGCAGTATTGCATTGGAGGAGAAAGAGGTGAAGCTTAAGCTTTTGCAAAAACATACCTGTATATTTTTAGTAATATATGTGTAGCCCTCTGATTTATCACCTGCTATTGGATGCTTTTTGAGATTGGTTATCTTATTTATATCAAGTCACTTTGTGATGCTATTTTTTCCGTATATAAGAAGAGGCCCACAAAAACATTTTTAAAGGATTTTATTTAAACACATGGCATTTATCCTGCATTCATTCATCTGTTCACGTATTCTCCTTTCATGCATGTACACAGACATGCCCACAAATATATATCACTGTATATTTTTTTTCTCCTTTCTCATTGAAAATATAGAGAGCATAACTGTATGTGTCTATTGGAGATACACTGGTAATATTTTCAACATGATTGGAAAAGCTACTGTGATTGAGAGCATAAATCCTGTAGCCAACCTCCAACTGAGCTTGAAATTTCACCATATAGAGAATAGGAATTACTAATTCTAATATCTAACCCTATTCTACTTTGCTGGTGGTCTAGAATTTCTATCTCCTAATTTGCTCTTGGATGATGTACATCTGGAACAGAGATGTGAAACCAAGGAATTCAGTCTTTTGAGATACTGACCTGGCTCAAATTTCAGTTATTATTTAAGCTCTTGGTATACAAGATAATGAACTTTTCCAGTTTTTTTTCATTATCTGCAAATACAGTATACAATGCTGTTGGTTAATTTACACTCTCTGAGCTACCCTTCAGCTGGTTGGGTTGATTTTAGCCATCTCTTGGAAGTGTCACACTACCTATAGTACTTCAGATAGCTTTGAAGAATATCAGTCTGTATTCTGTAGTAGATAGGAAGCTAAGTACTGTCACCAGAGTTGGTATAGTTGAGTTTTTCTTCTTATAGGCATTCTGCCCCAAATCTAGCTTTTTGTTTTTTCAGATTTGTTACATTGGAGCAAGTATCATTATATAAAATACCTCACATATTATATGGGTTCCTGTCTAGTCCCAAGCAGATTCCAAGACTTTTATTAATCATCTTACTTTAGGAACTAGACTACTGAAATTTCTTTTCCCAGAACTACACCCTGTCTAGGAATGGAGGTTGCCCTTTGTATTGGTTTGTTCAGCGTGGTCAGAAATATCTAAAAGTACTAAATTATTTAATTATAAAATAGTTTTAATTGTCCCAAATTACTTCATTCTAAAAATATTTCCACTGCCTCTTCATGCAATGGAATTGTTGTTACTCGGTTAAAAATATGTTTAAAGCAGATAATTTAGAGAACAAGTCCCAGAATGCCCATTGTATCAGGTCAAGCATGTTTGGAATCAATAGAATATTTGCAGTTCAGGGTTGAAATGAGAGATCCTTAGTGCTCTCTGAGCTTGTTTTTTTTCTACAAATCAAGAAAACATCCTTTTCTTGTTCTGAAATGTTCTTGGTTGTAATGAGTTATATAAGGTTCAGAATTGACTGCATATCATAGATCAGTGTTTCTCAACCTTGTGAACATTAAGATGTTGGACTTTAACTCCCAGAATTCCTTAGCCATGTGGCTGGGGAATTCTGGGAGTTGATGTCCACACATCATCAAGTTCATAAGATTGAGAAATACTGTCAGATAATTCAGCATTTTGAAACTTTAAAATATATGTTTAAATTATGGTGTTAGGTCAGTGGTTCTCAACCTTTTTAATGCCGCGACCCCAACCGGTCGTAAGTCGAGGACTAAACCGGTCATAAGTCGAGGACTAAACTGGTCGTAAGTCGAGGACTAAACCGGTCATAAGTCGAGGACTACCCAACCGGTCGTAAGTCGAGGACTTTCCCTGCCCGGGAGCGCCACGCATGCGTGGTTCCGCCCCCTGCGCCGGCCGAGGCGTAGCTGGCAAGTGGCAGAGACGGAGCAGGCTGACCACCAGCTGGCCCAACCCAAGGGAGGTAAGGCACCCGCCGGAAAAGGGGAAAAAAATGGCGGACAAAAAAAATGGCAGACAAAAAAATGGCGGACAGCCTTGCTTGGCGACCCCCATGAAATGGTCGATCGACCCCAAATGGGGTCCCGACCCACAGGTTGAGAACCACTGTGTTAGGTGTTATTATGCAAATTAAAAAGAGAAAAGCAAGCATATATCTCCTCATTTAGACTATTCAGAGAAATATTACTGTACATTATAAATATATAATAATATAGGAAGAATGGCTGGCAATACTACTATTGAGGATATTTGGGGAATACAATACAAAATACATTTATTTCTTCAAGGCTATAATTTTAAATAACTTTTTTCCCAAGACCAATCCTTTTTATTTCAGATTGTGCATATATTTTCTCAGCCAGCACTGTTTATTGTGGATAATGAAATAGAAGAGGATTTTGCAAGCCCTAATAACTTCCTAGGAGAGGTATAATGATTAAGGCATCAGGCTGGAAATTGGGAGAGTGTTGAGTTCTAGTCTGCCTCCGGCACAAAGCCTGCTTGGTGATCAGGAGCCAGTTGTTTTAGGAAATGGCAAACCACTTCTGAAGGAAGTGGAAAGGAAAACCTTTGCCAAGAAAACTGCAGGAACTTTTCCAGGAAGTTTCTGAGAATCAGACACAATTGAGTGGAAGAAAACAAAACCCTACTATTGCTGTATCCCCTATGGCAGGGGTCCCCAACCCCTGGTCCATGGACTCGCACCGGGCCACGGCATGCCAGAAACCAGGCCGCACAAACAAGCAAAACCCCATCCATGGGATGCAGGCAGCACACAAAACCATGCCCCCTCCGGTCCGCGGAAAAACCTCTCCCCACAGAACCGGTTCTTGGTGCCTAAAAGTTTGGGGGCCTCTGCCCTATGGCCTTCTGAGACGTTGACAACATGAGTGTTTTTAAGCTAGGAACAGGCAGGCAATGGGGAGAAGGAACTCTGTCCAGCCTTTTCAAAAGTTGTTGAACCTCAAATCCTCCTCTTTCCCAACAGATTCTTTTTACAATGTCCTTTTTGTGCCCAATTATTAATTGGCTGAATCTGCAATATGCAGAAAGTAATAACTTTATTTCCAGCAGTATTAAGTCCTAAGCAACACAAAAACTATTCAGACAAGGAGAACAAATCCAAATATTTAAAATATATTCCATGTTTCAATATAGTACCTTGGGGTGGGGAAGGAGAGGAACCTAGATCATAATCAAGGATTAGATTATTTATCTCTCCTTTTGATAAAATGCATACCCTGAAAATACGAAACACATGTACATAATATTTTATTGTAAAATAACTACCACAATCTTTTGGAACATATCTTTACCCAAAAGAAGATATTGAATAAGCAAAAAACCAGAGAAACATCTCTTTTCCTAAGACAGTTAGCTATATATATGCTCAGAGATATCTAAATAAATTTAGGTAATTTTTTACTGGACATAAATCAACAAATTGTCAATTTTGGATAATAAAATGAAAAGATTGCATTCCTATAAAAAATGATGGGGGTTGTTATAGAGTTAAACCACATATGAAACAAATGTATATCTGCCTTGCTAACCTATTGCGGGTGGCTGTAGGGATAATATTAGAATATTCTTATTTTGGTTTTGACTAACCTTATTTGTTACTATACCTGATCCTGAATACAACTCAGTATAGTTCTGGCTTAGGAAAATTGGGCAATTTAATTTGGTCTGCATTTTAAAGGAAAAGTAACTGAATGCATATCTCAGATTACATTATAGTTTTGGGAGTCTGCTCTTCTCTGGATATTGTAATACAAATCTCATGTCACAAATTGCATACAAATATATAGGGAAAATATTTATAGAAATGACTGTTATTGAAAGATGCATATGAAAACAAATGCCATTTTTCTGGCATTTTTTCTTAATTAGGAAGAATTAATAGAGGTTATGTGACATGTAGATCAGTTTAAAGGTTTTCCTTGGTAAATAAGAGTTAAGTCATACTATTTAAAAAAAAATTATCTTAAGTTTAACCAGACATAAATCTCACATGCAGTCACTTGTGACTCTGTCAGAGAAGGTATCTCTGTTGGGGTGAAAAAAAATTACTTGATATTGCTGGGAATAACCCAGTAACCAATTGACATTGATTTTATGGACTATTTGCTTTCATTCACGCTGCCCATTTTCCATTCTGACACTGAGACTTAAAATGGGGAAATACAATGCCACACAAAATGACATTAATGAATGGAAGCTAACCTAGTCAGCATACATTGATCTCACTGCCAAAGCTATTTTTCTTTTGAAAAACAGGTAGATAATAATCTGTTGGCTACGGTACGTACGGTGGAGGCTTTTCACCTGACAAGAAATAGGCTGGTGTGTATAATGGAGGAGCATTAGGAGGCACCCCATGGTTACAGCTGGCCTGAGAAGATGGCTGGGGGTCATCAGCTAAAGATACATCAGTAGACGAAGATGTTGGGAAATTGCCGGTAGGCTGCACCAAGACAAAGAGAAACCTTACAATGAATGAAGTTGAACTGTAAAACTGTATTTAAAATGTATGTTGATATACTTCATAATTTCTAAGCCCCAAATTCTGCGAAGTTTTACACACACACATGCACCTACTTCAACCTACAGTCATTCTCAAGTCTAAGCCATAGGCTTTTGTTTTTGTTTTTGTTTTTAAAAATTGATGTAGTGAACAAAAGGAAGGAGTGAGACACCTTTATATATAATGAAGCACAGTCTGGAAATATTTTTAAGTGGATAAATCTTTGGTTATTTTAATTATATTTTATTGTGATATTTAAATCCAGAATCCCAAGCTTCTGGTTAGTTTTGTGCTTGGCCCAATTGTCTATTGCCAGAAGCAATAAAGCAAACAAACAAGCATATGCTTATCTGCAGGAATGACTCTGTTTGTTCTTGCCTTGTCCAAGGACCATTATTGGTAAAGTAACTCTTGGCTTAACACTATCTGTAAACATTGTCTGTGTTAGCTTTCAATATCAACAAAACTCTGATTTATCTGCTCTGTTTTGATTCTTTGTCTGCACAAACCCATTTCTGTTGACTTTATAAATCAGTGTTTTTCAAGACTGGCAACTTTAAGATGTGAGGACGTCAACTCCTAGAATTTCCAACCAGTCTATTCAATGCTAATATAAAAGTGAAGATATTCCTGATAACAGACACATGAAAAGGTGCTCTTTTGTCCAGCTGGTATTCATTACATAGGCTTGGATTAGAGTAGCCAATATGCACCCATTGATTCACACACAAAATTCCCCGTTATAAAAGCAATCCAGAATGCCACTGTGAACACCAGATGTCTTGGCACCCCTCCTGTACTTTACCTGAAGGGGCAGGTGATAGGTAGGATAATGAGGAACAGAAGCTGCTGAAGGACAAAATCCAGCATATGTCAAGATCTGCTGAGCAGGATTGTAAAGGATCTGTGGTGGTGGAGCAGAGCTGAAGGCAATTTGGGAAACAGGCACCTGCAGTGGCAAAAGATGAATCAATTTTACTTCCTCTCCAAGTCTGATTTCAATACTGAATATTTTTTCCCTTGATACATTAATCATACCTTCCCAAATAATATGCCTTTCCATTTATATAGATGGGCAAATGAAAGGTTTTTAAAAAGAAAAATAAATCTTTATTTTACCCCATTTAAAAGTCCACTATTTTGAAAACAAGCCTGCTTTTATTTGGAGCTTGTAAAACGAGCTAGTAATGGGAATGGCAAGTTCTCTTTCCTAAGGCCTCAAAAATTCATTCAACACTACAGGGCAGTAAAGGGTTACAGCAAAGCTTGATAGTTTTAAGATTCACTCTGGGAGGGGAATTCCGGAAGTTAAAGTCCACCATCTTAAAGCTGCCAAGGTTGAGAAACAATGAGTTAGAGGGTTCTGTAAGCCAACATCTAGCAGAAAAATTCTGTTTCATTCAGGTGACTTTTGAACATTTGTTTCTAGTTTCTAGTACAATTCAACCTTTTGTGTTCTATTCATAGGGGCAAAAAGAAACATTCTTTTAAGACATTGCTTCAGGCATAGGTTAGGGAATTGCAACTGCAGTCAGATTTGGATATTACATGGGGGGATTTGGCAACTGCTTTCTGCCAAGAGTGGATTTTTATATAAAAAGTCCAACTCAGTACTGCATGACTGCTTTAAGTTGCCTTTCTTTCAGTTGCCTAGCAAATCTTGATTTGTGTTTCCTAAACAGTCATTTATTTCCATGCCCCACTTTGGAAATATAAAATTGTCCATATTAATAATTGCATGAGAATTTAGTTACAAGCATAGCATTGTCAAACTTTTGAATAAAAGTGAAGTCTGATAGCTTGGTATACAATGCCAACCAAAAGTGCAAGATATTTCTGTAAGCAATCATGTTTTATTTAACATCCCAACATTCATGTTAATTATATTGTTGGCACAGTCAGGTAGAAGATAGCAATGCAGGCATATTCCATGGAGGATAAAACGTTATGACCAGCAGACAATTATGATGTAATGTTAAATTTTATTAGAATTGTATGTAAAACTGCCAAGAGTAATATATATACCTATGTTTCCCCCAAAATAAGATCTATCCCGAAAATAGGCCCTAGCTTGATTTTTGGGGGAGGGCCTAACATAAGCCCTACCCCCCAAAATAAGCCCTAGTTAAGTCCCCGCCCACACACCTGTCTCTTCCCTTTCACTCCCCTTCCGAGCCAGACTGCCATGCTACGGAGGATGGGCAGGGGAAGTGCAGTCGCTTTACTTGGTCCCCCTCCGCTGTTTTGGAGCCAGTGGGGAGCCATTTTTATTTATTTTGTTTTTCATATTTACTTCACTATATTTTTGAATGTATTTCTTATTTTAAAAAAATATGACCAGCAGAGAAAACATTATAAATTTTAGTATATTTACACAAAGATGACAGATAGTTAGAAGCATGTGGTAGATTAAACTTCTAATAAGGCTATGTGTGTTTTCCTTTCAAATTCCAAATACTGCATAGCCCTATTACACAATGGCATGTGATTGTTACAATTCCTTAATTTTTTTTTCTAAAAAAAAAGGAATTGCCCCAAAGCACTAAAAATCTTTGAGTTTCCTATAGAAACTATTCATCCAAATGTCATGAATGCTGCAAAATAAAGATGAGAGGCATAACCTCAAACAGAAGTTGAAGTTGGAGGGAAGATACAATATAAAGCTAATGCACTGTCTTGTGCCTGACCTGTTTTTTTACTCCTTGCCCCCCCCCCCCCAGCAGAGAAATGGCTTAAACAAGCTATCACTTTCTGAGCCGCTTTTCTTTACAGGATAGCGCTTCCCTAAAAAAATGCTAACCACAAGACACTCCGCTCTGTAACCTTAGTTGATTAGAACACTGCCCCACCACCCTTGTGTTGCTATCTGAAATAATCAGTTTCACACTCACACTTTCTTTGGCCTCCTAAGCTACTCACAGAAAACAAACCAGGCAAAGAACAGCACTAGCGCATTGCTTTGTTTTCAAGATATATTCCTCACTGTTTGACTCCTTACTCTCTTGTAATCCCTTCCTCTCCAATGAATGTACAGTCTTCTTGCTAATTATCCCAACACTGGGATGAGCATTAGAAAGGGGAAGTGAGGAAAATGGCTATATGTTTTGCCCCTTTATACAGTTTCTTTGTGATTTATGTTCCAGAAACCTTCCCCTCCATTTGGGCGCACTTGACTGTTTGGGGCCAAATCCTTGACCCCAAATGCTGTGAGTATATTCAGTAAAACAAATATTAATAACTTTTTTCAAGATTTATTTATCATCCTGGCATCTCCCTTAATGTTTCCATTTTTAAGTATCCATCCTACAAATTATAAATTAAGCATTGATGCACAGATTATGGCAACACACGTGCAGCATCTCAATTTGCCTCAAATTGTACTTCTTTCATTAGTCAAATTATAACTGATACGATTAACTATTTAATCAGTGACAGACAGAAATGAATCTTGCTTCATTTGGTTTTGGTTTCATGGGCAGTTAATCAGATCTATGACATATCTCATGAAATCTGTCCTTAAAAATTGTTTTTAATGCATCCAGAACACAAGGAAGTGACTCAAAAAGGTAAATGTCCTTGAAGAAAGTAACAACTAATCACATAGACATTGTTGACAAGAAAACAATATGAACACAGTCTATCCATGGTCACTAGGATTAGATTTAATTTTAAGGTGGCTTTATATTTATAATCCCTCCAGGGAGCCATAAGGTACACACCATCAGCAACTCTTTAATTCAACCACATATTTTTCCTTGGTCACCTCAGCCGTCCCAGGAAAACAGGCCTCAAAGGAGGAATGTACAAGTATAAAGTGTATGCCATACTTACTCTGGGTTCAAGTCCAAAGTACTGCATATTCTTATTTTATTTTGCCAGGACAACATGAGCATGCTAGCATGGATCAATGTCCATCAATAGCAGGCAAGACTTACCACATCTTTAAAGGCTCCAAGTATGGCTGCTGTGATTATGCCAAGGAACAAGCCAATGATGTTCAAGACGGTGGATGACCAAAGCAGTCGATAGAGGTGAACCACATCCTGACAGCTGCTCACACCAAGGAATTCATAATAGCTGATAGAATGTTCTGAGCTGGAAACAGGATATTAGAGCTTTAGCACCTGATGAAAAGCAAAATGGTGCCATTCCAATCTTGTCCCTTCTCTCTTACAGTAGTCGGACTGTACTAACTCCTTCTTTTCCTGCCCCTCCAACAATAGCTCTCAGGGTAAATTGACAAGAGGCCTAGGTTTAAAAACTATAGCAAGGTGCTAGATATCATGATTTTTTTTTCTAAGACAAATACAAAGAAAACATTTGTAGTTTTAAGGAGGAATACACTTTTTAAAAAATCCACATTTTTACTCTGGAAAACATTGTAATAGTTAAATCCTTGTTATCATTATGCTCTTGTGATCTCTTTTCTGGATTACTGAAATGTGCTCTACATGGGCTGCCCTTGAAGAGCATTTACAAGTTTCATCTGGTGCAGAATGCAACAGCGCAAGTAGTAAATGCTGCCAGTTATTCAGTACATGCACCCCAATACTCTTTGAACTACAGTAGTTACCAATGTGCTTCCAGGTGTAATTCAAGGTACTGGTTGTCATTTTTAAAGCTGTTTGTGGTTTGGGACAGGGTACTTGAGGAACCATCTCTCCCCAATTGTTTCTATTCATCTGATCTGGTCAGGCAGGATGGGCATGCTTCGGCTCTTGTTGAATAGAGTATGCTAGTTGGCAAACCTAGAAGACATGTCTTTTCTGGGGTAGCCCCCAGGAGATGAGGATGGCCCAACCCTATGGGCCTCTCCTGAGACTCTAAAGACATGTTTCTATGCCTGGGGTTTACAGGGTGCAGGAATCGGCGTATTGGTTATGCTAGTGATTTTAGTTGCTTATATTTCAAGCCTCCCCTTGTTCAGGAGCTCATGATGGCCTACATTTATCATCTATCTATCATCTACTCTATCTATCATCTATCTATCTATCTATCTATCTATCTATCTATCTATCTATCTATCTATCATCTGTCTATCTAGCAAATTTATATGGCTGCACATCTCACAAAAAGCAACTCTGGGCAGCATACAACAAAGTTCCCTTCTGCTCCTCCATAGCTACCCTGTGATAGGTTGGTCTGAGGTAGTGGTCCTCAACCCTTCTGAATCCATGGACCTAGCTCCTGTGTATGTGCAAATGAAGCTTTACACACTCATCCACCACTTGTATCATCTAGTTCCCAATGGGCCATAAACTGGTACTGGGGGTTGAGGACCCCGGTCTAAGAGATACTTACTTTTCACAGTTATATAAATCACAGCAGTAACACGTATTACTTTTCACTTTCAGCTGGCATTTGTTATTTAAGGCATAACAGGTCACCTGTGTAAAGAGAAGGCAACTGATAATTATTAGTGCCACCTATTGCACCAGAGTATTGCTGAATCTCTTCTTATATGGATAGGCAACCAGGAGCCGCTGAAAGCTCATAAAAAAGGGCTGCCAAATTTGCTTTCAGTGTGCTTGAATAGGGTTGTCCTTCACCAGAACAGAAAGGCCTTCTCTTGCCCCACAGAAATCCTTTCCTCCTCCCACCAGGTAATATCCATCCAAGACAAGCAAACCTGGCCAAGCTAGTCACCTGGACCTCACTAATGTATCAAACATAGCTGATGAAAAGGCAGGGTTGTAGAACAATCTGGATTCTTAGATGATTTCCCTGTTTATCTCTGGTTGAACTGTAACTCCCCAACATGTTTCCTGGCTGCATGGATGGCTGCTACTGTTCCTGAGGACACAATTTATAATACCAACAGCACAGCAATGCCCAAAACACACAGAAAAGCCTGTTAATAGAGGTGTGCATGTGTGTGTGTTTGAGATATTCTTGTATCTTGGTGACTGCTGGGCTAGTCTCTGCAGTTTTCTTGGCAAAATTTCAGAAATGGTTTGCTGTTATCTTAGGAAGGAAAGAGAATGGCTGCTCTAGATCACCCAGCTGACTTTGTGCCTAAGACGGGACTAGAACTTACAGTCCTCCGGTTCTAGCCTGATGCTTTAACTCAAGGTCAACTTCAACTCCCAGAGTTCTTAGTTGCTAAGGTTGAGAAATATTATCTTAAGCACTATACCAAACTGGCTCCTGATGAATAAAGGTGTTCAGAGAAGTTTTATATATCTGCAGTGCTTTTTTGTAAAAAAAAAAAAAAGGTGCCGGAACTCACACGTCATACAACCCGCCTTGCCTATCCTATAAGGTTCCATCCAAAAAAGGTTCTGGGCGTTCTATGACAAAAAAAGCCCTGTATATCTGTATGATATACTGAGGATAAGGGGACTTTGATCCACTGAAATCTGTGTGATAATAAGCTACCCAGGAGATGTTGGGCTCCCAACTATTGAACTATGGAATGCTAAACTGCCATCTGTTAGAGATGCTTTAAGCAGAATCCTGCCCTGAGAGGGCTTGGCCTGTACAATTCTACAATTCTAAGAGTCTATGCGATTACACAATTTATTATCATATATCCTTGAAACTGTTAACCCTTGCTTTTTAGGAAGGAAAAAAGTGATAGGGAGAATGAAAACTATAATATTTTATTTCAGAACTGAGATATAATCATCAGCAATGCTGGCCAGAAAATCCTAAATTCCAGAGATGTTTCATTGAAGAAACAAGGATGCGGCTGAGGACCTTATTGGTGGGAGAAAAAGTAGGGAAGAAATGAGGAAGGGGGAGCATTTACAGCTTCTGTTGTTTTATTTAAAAAAAAAAAAGTCATCAAATTTCAATCAGTGGGAAGAAATAAATGAAGGCTAGCTCTGAGCTGCTCTGAAATCCCTATTTTCTTTGATCCATTGTTTTTACATTAGTTTTCAACTCTGGAAAACCTATCCACATCAGTAAAGGGAAAGAGAATTATTTTTCCAGGAATAGAATCTTCCTCCTCCATTTTTTTCTGGAATTAGTCCAAGATTGGAAGTAGTCTCTGTTTTCTGAAACATGACTGGGAAGCAGCAATTATTTCGAGAGCAAATAGGATTTCATTTCTTCACTGTTATTTCAGACTTAGATTTGGGTCCTTCCGCATTTGATAGGAATTAAAGTGGGCTCCTACTGAGCTTACTCTTGTAAGATCCAAAGTTTTGCTATAATTAATAATTGTGATTCCTGTAAGTCCAAAGAAACTAAAAGAACAAGCAACGATGTATATCTGGAGCTTTGCAATATGCATTATTTGCATTTTCAGTTCTGCTTTATTTACTTTCTATTACAGTATCTCCTTCTACAATCTTCATTTTGCAACAGTAGCTTTGAAAACAGTGCATATTTCGCAGACACTGCAAAATCATTTCTGTGTGACAAAGTAGGAGGATAATAGAATAAGAAGGATGTGCAAAACATCAAATTCCATAAGAAAAAATAATAACATAAATGAATTGCATGGAGATAAGCAAGTCAGAATAAATCTATGTAACTGCTTTTCAAAGATGCAGGTATGTCTGCAAGTTATAGTTTAAAAAAGTCAAGATGCAACAAAAACTGTCTGGATAAGTAAAAATCCTAACACTGCTAGAGATCAAAGGGGCAAAGTGAGGAGAGACGAATGATGAAAGTAGCATTCCATCAATGTGATGCAAGTTCCCAAAAATTCCAATTTTCAGGAATAGATGGTACCTAAAATCAATATTTAAAAGAGAGGAAAATAACAACACCAACAAAAAACCCATAAGAGAGCTATAACTATGAGATCTAGTTTAGTCTAGTGATTAAGGTACCAGGCTAGAAAACAGAAGACTGTGAATTCAAGACTTGCCTTAACCATGAAAGCCAGCTGGATAACTATGGGTCAGTCACTCTCTCTTGCAGTCCAACCCACCTCACAGGGTTGTTGTGTGGAAGAAATAGGAGAGGAGAATATGTTTGCTGCCTTGAGCCATTTGTAAAAATAATAGAGGAAAACAAATAAACTTCAGAAGTAGGGTGCAGCCAGAGAATTAAACATCAATATATATAGAATTCCCTTGTTTTTTCCAATAGTAAAGAAGCAGAATATGTTGTTCAAAGTAGATGAAAAATATGCAAACATGTTAAAGAGGCCTTAATTTTATTTCTCAGAAAACAGCAGTTCATTTGAATAGGTTAAGTTTAGATTCTCTCCTGGGCTTCTTTTCCCCCCCACATCCTATTTTTGTTTTGTTTATGTGGATGGTTTCTTTATTCAATAGGCTGGAAGTATACTCTGCCAAAACAAAACAACAACAAAACTCCTGAGAGTAAAAGAACCAAAATTTTACTTCAGCCCCAGGATTGTGCCTGATTGTTCCTGTCCTTGGCTGAAGACCATCACTCGGGATAGAATCTGTAGACATTCTTGGATTTTGTCAGGTTATTACAATTAAAAGTTGAGGTTTGGGGGCCAATATAAATCATCAGCTATTAAGGTAACTTGGGTACATCTGACAGAATGTCATTCCGCACAAACATCCGCAGGAAAAGAGCAATGGCATTTTCCAACAAATCATTTATGTAACAAGAATGGAATGAACTTCAGTTCCAAAGCAAATATTCTTGCCACACATACAATAGCATTTCTATGCTGCCAAAATACAGAAAATAAACCTCCAGTGATTGAGTCCTGAGATTAAAAAAGTCACCTTGTAAGTCACCTTTCCATGTACTGTACAAAGCTAGATCTTAATCTAACAATAATAGCTTACCTCTGTCTGGTAGGCATCAAATAAGTATCCGATTCCACTTGTATAATACTGGCACCTTTTAGTATATAAAGGTCTAGGTTCCTAGAAGAAGAGAAAGAAGAAAAATGAAGAAGAATTAAAAATGTGCTTTAAGTTACATTACAGATCTATCTTTACTTCCCCTACGCAGCTAAGCTCTGGGAGGTTTTAAGTGAAATCCATATACAATCCATGTAATTTTGAACTTTGTCAACTATTTCCTCTTCAGCATGCATTGATTTGCTTGGAAATTAATTATAGAGTTGACTCAATTTAACAGAACAGAATAAGTTAGAAGAGACCTTGGAGATCCTCTAGTCCAGTGGTGGCGAACCTATGGCACGCGTGCCAGAGGTGGCACACGTGCCGTTGCCCCAGCCTCGCCTCCCCCCGTGACCTCCTCCTCACCAGCAGCCCCTCTGGAGGAGAGTCGTCCCCGAGCATGGCCCACGCAGAGCAGCGCAGCCAAGGACATGGCAGTCAGGCAGCGTAGACAAGACTCTGCCTTCATGCCCCATCGCGCACAGTTGATGCTGCAGTGTGCGGGCAGAGGGCGTGGCCTCCATGGCACTGCTGGGCTGCCTGGGTGATTTACACTGGGCCCTGGAGGTGGTGAGTGGCCCTGCGGGCAGGCGGGGTGGAGACGGGGCAGGGGGTAAAGCGGGGGCGGGGCCAGTTTTTGGGCACTCGGTCTCTGAAAGGTTCGCCATCACTGCTCTAGTCCAACTCCCTACTCAAGCAGGAGACCCTATGCCATTCTGGACAAGTGACTGTCCAATCTCTTCTTAAAAACCCCCAGTTTTGTCAGGAAATTTTACATGTTTAAAACAGAAGTAAGTCATACAATGGACCATGCATTAATGTTTGGAAGGTTATAGCAATACATGCTTGGATCAGATTTCTCAGAACATAGAAAAGAAAGGAATAGTTTTAAAATGACTGTTCTGTGCCATTACCACTTAATGGCACAACAAATTAATTCACTCCCCTTCTCCCATCAAATTCTTCCAAATCTCTGGAGCAGTTCTGAGGGTGCTTCAACACAGGAGGCAGGAATTAAGAAGAGCACCCAAGAAGAGGAAAATATCATGGGATCTGCCCTCAAGTTATTTTTCTGAAAATGTTTGGTGGTTTGCAATCTTCCCTTGAGCCCTTTGGCAATTAATAGTGTTTTAATCTATGTAAGATAGCATCTCTTATGCTATCACATCAAGGGTATTTTAAATTATATAGCAACCATTGTCTGCCAAAGCAGATAAAAGAACAAAAGGTCAGTTTCTGCTTTTGGCCCACAGCAGAAAGATAGCAAGCTCTCATTGTTGCATTTTTACATTCTCATTACTTGTTTCTGAGCATGCCAGTCTTTTTACCAAATAACATTTCGAAGGTAGCAGTTTGATAAAATCTAGAGTACAGTTATATAAATATCCCTATTATTGAGTTATTTTGGAAGATCTGGATTTATGAACCAGAACTAACACTGATCCCTTTTGGCTTTGGGAAATTGTAGAAGACTAGTCAAGTACGTTAGAAATCTATGATTACTGAAACTTACATGTATAGTCAACATAAAAGATGCAGATAAAAAGGAAACAGGTAAACAATACCAGATATAATTCCATCCTAGCTGTTTTTGTTAAACCACTATTGTGCCTTGGAGGGTTGACCAAGACATTTTAATGTTTACAAAGAAAACAATATAAAACTACAGCAATTATAAAAGAAACTGGATAAAATAGAAATAAACCTAACCCCAGCATATATGAAAGCCAAACATTAAAGTGCTCAATTATTAATATCCATTATTAGTTATTCTATTTTATTTTTGTTTGATAGATTTTTAGTTTTTGAATTATGAAAATTAGCAGCTACTGAAATCTCTTCACACTGAAAACCAAGATATGATAATACATTAAGTAACCATAAATATCTTTATGTCCTTGAGTGGAATTAGGCTTGTCCAAGAAATAATACCCGACATGGCCATTGTTTTAATGGCTCAAACAGGAGATGGTTCAGTTCAATCTTTGAAAGACAAACTTCACCCCAGATTCCTTGGAAGAATCACTGTATAGTTTCTGTGAACATTTCTAATTGTAAAAAAATATTGATGGGTGTGCAAGTCCTCAGTGTCTTTTATTTAGAAAGTGATCATTTCAGATTTGGTTTGTGACATTAAAATCATTGCCAGCTTTTTAACAGGAACACCGTAATTTCCATCCAGTTTGGTTGACAATTTCCTAATATGATATTAGGCATTTCCTTTGTAAAGTATCAGAGAGAAAGATTTGGATGTTCAAAACATACAAAGAAATGGTTCTGGGGATTGAGGAAATGAAAAACAGGATACAATCATTGATTAGACTATATGGAAGTGAATCCAACACAGCATTAAGCATGTTGTATATAGTTTTACAAAAAGCTTACTTCTATCCCTTTTACTCAGTAAATTCACATCCCTCCAAAGATAATACTGGATTGAGACCCTGCTACTTCTCTTTTCTAAAAATGCCTTTTCAGTACACTATGTTTCCCCAAAAATAAGACCCGAACTTTTTTTTTTTTGCCTCCAAAAGAGGCACCAGCAGTGGTGGGATTCAGCCGGTTGGCACCAGTTCGGCAGAATCGGTAGTCAATTTTTTGTTGCCCTGGCCCAGAATGGACTTCTGGACTTCTGGTTGTTCACGTATTTGAATCCCACCACTGGGCACCAGGTCATATTTGCAGGGGGAGGGTCTTTTCCATGGTCTCACTTTGTGGCTGGTGGCCCAGCTGGCTCACTTCTTCTGCGGCCACTCACTGCTGCTCGCGCACGTCACCCCCAAACTCCATTTTGCCCTCAGAGGCCTTCAGGAAATACCTCTGCAGCTGAGAATAGAGCTCATGACTGATGTACACAGCGCTCCTTCCAGAAAGGCCTCTGCAGCCGAGAACCAAGATACAGATTCAATCTATAGCTCGGTTCTCGACTGCAGAGGCCTTCCAGAAAACTCCATTACAATTGAAACAATCAACTATTTATCCTGCATTATCAATAACTGAAAACATTCCAAATATTAGATGCTTAAGATAATGTTCCATCCTACTTGGAGTGGCAGTAGATATACATATGTAGCTTTTCTTCTCACTAATCATTATGCTACATATGTTTGCATCTGTTAGGCCGCTGTCTCTTAAACAGCTTTCAAAGAGTATGGGGAGACATCAACCTCAACAGTATTTGCAACCATATCGAGGACCACTGCATCATGGTCTTGAAAGGGGACTATGTGAGTGCCTTTTTCCACTTTTGCTCATAACACAATGCCTTCCCTAGAATATTTTTCCTTTGATAAGCAATATTTGGTGGATGTGATGCACCAAAAGGTAGTAGGACAGAAATCAGTTATTCAGCAGCTGCAAAAGTTAATTTCTGTACTTAGTTGTTCAATGAGGATAAGTGATGACGGAGCATAAAATATTCCTGAATATTCAACCAGTTCTTAGGGTTTGTTTCATCACTATCAGTAGAGGTCCTCTGTGCTTCATATTGGAAAAATCAATTATCATTTCAGAAAATCTGGTCCTTCAAAAAACAAAGAATCATCCCTTATAGAAGACTGTAAGAAGTCTCTTACTGTAATTTTCTCTTCCACTCTGTATTGCAAATATCTATTCTGAGAAAGAAAGAGTTATATTTTCCAACGACCAAAAGTTGACACAGTTCTAACAATTAGTATCATAAGCAATGCATAGCTTGAAGCTTACTTTATTGTGGACTAATGGAAATAAAGCTCCTCTTTCTGCTGGTGGTGATTTAAAAAAACGATCCTTCCCTCTTCTAAACTCAACAGTTCACCATCTGCTAGAACAGAGGTCCCCAACCTTTTCGGCGCCAGGGACCAGCTCCGTGGAGAGAGGTTTTTCCATAGACCAGTGTGTGCATGGTTTTGTGTGCTGCCTGCATCTCGTAGAGGGGGCTTTGCTTGTTTGTGCGGCCCGGTTGCTGGCATGCTGCAGCCCAGTACTGGTCCATGGACCAGGGGTTTGGGGACCCCTGTGCTAGAAGACTTCCTATTTTCAGAGGGAGAAAATCCCTAGCCTGGTGATCTGTATACAGTAGTAAGTTGGAGGGAAAGGATGTAAGTTGTAGTTACATTATGAAGCAGGCTAAGCAAATAAAGTTCCCTATTGTGCACATGGTAATTAGAAGTGGACACTGTATCTGTGGTTTTTGAAATACTTGGGGATATAACTGGCAAGAGTGTGGTGCTCTATTGCAGCTTCAGGGATAAGTGGAAGACAGTGATTGAGCTAAGTTTCCTTGATATACTTTAATCATCTTTTTTGACAGCATAACAGCTACTATTGTTGACAAAAGAAAGTCAAAAGACATTACATGTGTCAATATTATAACAATTTTGATCATTCCTTCAACAAACTCCATTTAATAGAATAGAATAGAGCTGGAAGGGATCTTGGAGGTCTTCTAGTCCAGCCCCCTGCTCAAGCAGGAGGTCCTATACCATCTCAGTCAGATGATTGTCCAGTCTCTTTTTAAAAACTTCCAGCGATGGAGCGCCTATGATTTCTGGGGGTAAGCTGTTCCATTGGTTTATTGTCCTCACTGTCAGGAAGTTTCTCCTTAATTCCGGGTTGCTTCTCTCCTTGACCAGTTTCCAACCATTGTTTCTCATCCTTCCCTCTGGTGCTCTGGTGAACAACCTGTCCCCCTCTGCCCTGTGGCAGACCCTGCTATCATGTCTCCCCTATTTCTTCTTTTCTTTAGACTAGCCAAACCCAAGTTCTGCAGCCGTTCTTTGGTCGCTTTGGTCTCCAGACCTTTGACCATCTTAGTTGCTCTTCTCTGAATTTTTTTCCAGTCTTTCAACATCTTTTTTGTGATGCGGTGACCAAAATTGGCTGCAGTATTCGAGGTGGGGTCTTACTAGAGCTTTATAAAGTGGTACTTTATAAAGTGGTACTAATACTTTGCATGATCTTGATTCTATGCCTCTGTTTATACAACCCAAGATTGTATTAGCTTTTTTGGTTGCTGCTGCACACTGCTGGCTCATAGTTAA